CGGTGGATTGAACTGCCTGTCCGCGTATACCTCAGCGCGCTTGCGGGAAAGGTGCGGATTCGATGTCCCTCCATTAAATGGCCAGATATGATTGGGGTTGCTTTCGTTGAGGATCCTGGGGTATCATTTCGTGTAGACTCGCCTCTCACAGTGGGCGATAATGAGCTCTTGCGCGGCATGGTAAACAAGCTCCTTTCAAGTGTCGTACGGAAAGTGTTCTTAGAACTGTGGGTGCTACCATCGTGGAGAACTTTCTTTATGCCTCTCATGGAGCCAAAATTGGAGGTATAAAATGAAGCAGTCGCTTGATCATGATATGATGAAGTTCTCAGATTTCATATTTAGGATATCCTTGCTCGCTCACGAGCAGCTAAAGAAGCTGCTAGCGCGGGACGTAAGGCCGATTCTCAATCCAAGGCCTCCACCCTATGGGAAACGCGCTCGCCTCTTTTACGCAACAGCAAGTCAGATCTACCGTTTCTTTTTGGAGATGTGTTGGGCCAGACGACATTCCAAACATCGAAAATTCTCCATCCTTCTACTCGTGAAGTGAAGGAACTGGAAGACACTCTTGTGACAGGGTTCTTGAAGCTGGCAAAGGATACCGACAGCGACGACATCCCCCCGCCATCATCTGTCTCGAATGCGAAAAACCAGGTCACCGGAAGTGGTGGCCCCGTAGACAGCGTAATTGCCTCCGAGTCTGAAAACGATTTCCAAGAAGCGCGAAGTGTCCCTGCAGAGAAGCCGACAAGTATACCATCTGTGGTATCAACAGCGTGGAAAACCATTCGCAACCGAAATGGCGTACACGTACAAAAGAAGCGAATCCTGGTCAACGAAGAGGTAGCTGAGATCACTCGGGCGGCTATGGTAATCCACTGCGATGCCGACCGAGTTTTTGCGGTGTTATCGAACCCTGAACACAATCGGCAAATAGATGAGGGTTACGTAGGGTCGGAGATAGTACATCAGTTTGGTACGTGCTTCGACTTTCTCTAGTGGGTGACCTGGGTACTCTCCCTCTGATCGTCGAATAACTTTTCGACTCTATCATATCTCTTTTTCTACTATTTTTACCCTGTACCTATTTGATACCGATCTTCCTATGAATATATTAGACGAAGCACGTTGCGTCCGTCGGACGTCATATCAGTTTGGCAAACAAGGCGCAAGAGATTACATTGTTTTTGAGGTGAAAAGAACGCGCAACCAGGACATACACTCTCCCTTAGAGGGAGCGCCAGCGGATACTGATTCGGAAACGGCAACGTCTTCAAGCAATGAATCCGCGCCTATCCCAGAGCAGTTGGGTAGGCATTCCTTTGTGGTAGTTTTCCGTTCCATCAAGGCATTTTCTCTTGATGAAGCTGAGGGTGGCGATACCAAGACATTGACGGGTTCCCCGGAGAAGGGTCGTGATGAAACAAGAGATCCGCAAAGTGATGCCACCGCTGGCAGCCCGCAACGTGGAGATGGCAAAGGCCAGCAGAAACTTCACAGTCGTTCAAATAGTAGCAGCCTTGACGATGTTGATCAATCGCCGGTGAGAAACTGGAAAGCTAAGAGCAAGCTATCTGTACCAGCACCTGCCAGCAGCAAATCGGAAAACAACAACACGGTGTATCTTTTCGGATACCTCATCACACCAGATACGCAATATCCGTCTGATACGTGCCATGTCACCGTACTATCCCAGCTGAGTCCGGATCTTGCGCGACTAGAAGTTTCCTTCGACTTTTGCAAAAAGCTAAAAACATTCATCGAAGAATTTGCATCTCTAACTGGCTTGGCTGCTTCGCGGGACCGTAATACATCTGCGACCCTTCATCGCAGTCCCTCGGATGCATCTAGTATCCGCCGCCGGCGCTTCTTCAGTGACTCATCGGCATCGTCGTTGGACTCGCAGGGCCAAGGGCGACGGATGGAGAAACTGAAGAATATTGTGGGATCCACTGCAACCTATCTAATGAAGACCCGTAAGGTGTCTGGATGGTTGGGACGGCAGCAGAGTGGAGAACTTACAGGAATACCTTCTGATGAGCTACTATCGGCTACTGCTCGAGCGCCTAGTGTTGAATTGGCGGATTTTGGTGGCGAGGCGAGTACTGGAAATTGGATGGACGATGATGATTCAGAAAATCCTTCCGAGGGACGAGTCAAAGGTCATACGAAGGAGGAGAGTAAGGACTCGGCTGCTTCAATGCCCTATTCTGAGAACTCGCTTCATGACGACGGAATTTCCTTTTCATTGACTGCGGCGACGTCTGATTTAGCAGAGGTTGCTTCTTCAGATTCGGAAAGCGTTTCTACAGCACGTGTGACGCCCTCCCGATCTTCTTTGCTTCCACCGCCTCCTCCTCTCATTCCCAAACCCCCTGGCCCCCCGATCTTGGATACCCCTTATGTTGAGCGTCACGTCCAATCTAAAGAACTGGTCCGCATCGAGATACCTTTCATCAACTCCCTATACCCTCCTGATGTGTCTACATATTTTGCGTATGACTATGGACCCACGTTTGACCAATCCCAGACCATATCATTCACACTTCTCTTCACCCCCGACCCTGATATCGACACGCTCTCCTCACCCTCTGTGGCGTCCATTCTTCCCCATCTACCCGCAAACTCGTCCGAGTCAACCACAAAGACACTGTTTCCAGCTACAACCGTCCACCTCACCAGCGCGACATGGGGTGTGATACCCCTCTCGAATTTCCCGTCTGGAACCTTTATATTACTCTTCCAGAATATACAGAAAGTCTCCAAGCACCTCAAATACAGAGCAGATACAATTTTGGAGGGCGATGTTGGGATTTGTGCAGATGTGACTGTGGCGAGAAAAAATGCGGGGAGATATCCGGTAGTTGTTTCAGGGAATAGTGGACAAGGCAGAGAACTCTGTTGGGAGTTCACCACTGGCGGATTTGATATTTTATTTGGTGTTTTGTATGAGGAGTTCGAGGCCAATGACCCGAAAGGTGATGATTCAGAGGTTGAGCACGGAGCCAATGACTTGACACCTACGCCACCACCTCCGATACCCCCACGACCAAAGCTACCAAGTACAGAGGAGGAGATCCCAGCACGGCCCCCCTCCTCAGAGTCTCACGAATCTGACAGCTCTACAAAAGACCAATCCGCAACCTCTCTCTCCGATGTTGCCGACGCTGCAGCTGTGATCTCTGTGGCAGCGTCAGGAGGAGATCCGACAAATGTTGGAGGTGTGTTGGAAGAGCTGGCTGGATCGGGTACTCGGGAAGTTTTAGTGGAGAGTATCTCTAATAAGCTGACTGAGAGTACAAGCGAGAGTGTTGACGCTGTGTCGGAAGATGTCGCACCACCCCGTACTTTGCAAAATGGACAATCCCTTTCTCGTCCATCCATTTCGTCGCGGCTTGCTGCCGTGGTCGGATCCAAGGGAGCGCATTCGCCACCACCGTCTCGTCCCACCTCAGTACCACAAGGATATGCCAGACAGGCCAGGGCGACCTATGTTGTGACACCTACCAAACAGAAAGGTGTTATACGCGGAAAACTAAATGTGACCGATCGTCCTGGGGTATATACTTTTGTTTGGGATAATGGATATAGTTTGGTTGTAAGTAAGAGGGTTGGCTTCAGGGTGTGGGTTAGGGACGACCCGGATGCGGAGTGAAGGTGACAACTGGGCAGTGGGACATGTTATTTTTTTCAATGTGAGGCTAAAATAAAAATTGTGATATATATACACGAGACAAACAAAAACACAAAAAGTGAAAAGAACGAAGGGATCCGCCGCTTCTACAATACCATCACATCTAATCCTACGTGCTAGAGTTTCCTATCCCCCCCATATCCAAAAGAGCGCTTCAGCTCTTCTCCTTCTTACTCTTCTTCTTTTTCTTTTTCTCAGACGATGGTGTTTGTGCCTCTGCATCACTTGTCGCCTCTGCCTTCTTTGCCTTCTTGTCCTTCTTTTTGTCCTTCTTATCCTTTTTCTCCTTCTTTTTTGGTGTTTCCTCGGAATCGTCTGACTTGCGCTTCTTGGGTGTTTCGGGTTCAGCTTCAGCTTCTTCTTCTGATTCTGTAAAGAACAACAAAGATGAGCATGACTTTATAGAGTGACAACAGAACGATCGCGATACAGTACCTTCAGCGGCATCCACGTCCATTAAATCAGCCATACCAACCTCCGCCAATGCCTTTTGCATCACCTCTGCATTCTTACGGGGTGTCACACCCTCTTCGTAGAATCTGAGCCGCTCTTCGACCTGTTCGCGCAACAACTCGCCAAATTTGCTCGTTGGTGTGTCCAAGAAACAATCGATACGACAAGCGATCGAGCACTTGTTGGCCAGCACACGGGAAATCCGACCCTTGTTCTTTTGTGCAGCGCGACCGATGAAGGACGAGTGGAAGATCAGACCATATTTGGGTGTGTTGCCCTTGGTCTTTAGGGCTCTGAAGAGAGCCTTTTCGGCGCCAAGAATTTGAACGGTTGAGGCGGGTAACTTTGATAGGTTTGTCAGACTTCCAGCGTGAGCGATGAGACGGGCGCCAACCATTTCGCCAATGAGTGCAGAGAGATTAGGTGCTACTAGGTGCATTTTGGAAACAAGGTATTCGTGAAGTCTTTTGCGATAGTCGGTCAGAGCGATAACTCGGTCAGCAAAGCTTTCAATGTTGGCCATGTCAACTTCAGAAATGTCTGTTCCCATCGATGCCCTTGCTGCATCCAAAACCATCTTTGTCTTGATGGGGTCTCCGAGGATCTCTTCCAAATCTTCCGATTTGTCTTCACCCAAGTCTCCCTTGTTTTTGATAAACTTGACGAGTTTGGCGTACATTGCATTGTCATTCACAATCTTGACCAATTCGGGGAAGTGCCATCCGTACCATTCCCTCACTCTCATGGAAAATGTGTTTACATCCTTGTCCAATTGGTCCAACAAGTTGATAGATTGAATGATCATGTTGTCGGCACGGTTGACGTTGAACTTCACTTTGGCACGGGAGTAGGCATGACCGAGACCAAGCTGGGCCTTGTCCAAGTCACCTTCGCGCAGTTGGCCCATTAACCGTTCGGCGTGCAGACGGATGCCACGGAGGAGCTCACGAACAGTCTCATTGTGAATGCAGTCGCACCCAAGTTCGGCCTTTATGCTTCCTCCCAAGTTGCTCTCCGAGACACCGAGTTGGACCTTTTGCTTTTTGCCAGATTTGGGAAGGTTGAGCTCGAGGAAGGCTTTCAAGGATGGGTTGCAGATTCCTGAACGAAAACCAGGTCAGTCATTCCTCTTCTAGTCACAAACGTCTTAGGCATTCTATTTCTTTACCTTCAGAGACATCCATAATATTCTCCAAAGCATGGGCAGCGCTTTTGAAAGGCTGGAAAGACTTCAACTTTACAATCTTGCTAAAGCGGGCGAGATCCAAGACACTTTGTTGGACTTCCTCCATCTCTTGGCCGATTTCCTCAGACTCTATTCTCTCAAACAGAGCATAGCCTGAGGAAGTCTCATAAAGTAGAAGTAAAGGCTATATATAGAGCTTGTTAGTATGGACCGTCCATATCCGTTCATTCCCGCATTTACGGTATAGCTCACCATTATGGTGGTGTTTTATAGGGTCTCCGGGGGTCCAAGTTGATGCACGCACGGGTCTACACCGTCTCGGGAACGTACAGAGGGGGCTGGGGAAAGGTGATGTCTCGGACCGAGTGGATTCCTCCTTTGGCAGTTGTCGTTTGTCCTCGTTCGTTTTCAGCGTCCCCCGTCCTTGCAAGGCACTGTCTAGATCGGGCAGTTGGAAAACAAACCAGCGCAAAAACAAAAATACCACGTGAGTGGCACTAGCATGAAATTGAACCAATGAGATCAAGCTAATCGGAGCTTACGTCCGCAGCGCATCTGGGCATAACACTTTCTTCCTCCTCCTCGGCCACATTGAAGCAATCAAGAACGAGATGGTCCAATAATGTATCTTGGGATATATTCACGCAGAGGCATTGGATGAGGTGACATGAGCTGAATAAACGTTCTGATCTGGCATCACAGGTATCGAACTGGCGGCATGTACGCGGCGGTCAATAAGCATTGCTCTCTTTGCACATGCCACCTACAATGTACAAACTGGATAATGTGTGCATCAAATGTTACCTACCAGGACAATGTCCGGTCAAAATTGGGTGATCGTTCTTGCATGGGATTGTGCATTTTGCTTTCGACTTTAGAAATCCCCGCTGCTGTAGTTTAATCTTTGTCGATTGACAATTCGCGGGTTAAAAAAGCACTGTATAACCGGCAAGTATCCAAAAGCTCAAACTTAAGTTTGCCAAAGGAATTATCCTACCAAAAAGATTCATGTGTTCAGCGAAATGTGCTGGCCGGGCCAAACTGGTGTGACCTAAAAATAGTAGTCCAATAATCAATCTGGCTCTAAATGCATATTGAGATTTCGATTTTTCAGAAACTGTGGTTATAGGGCTATACTTGGACCATTGAATTGCATCAAGCTTGCTACAGATCGTGCCAACTCTTGTTGCGCAAAAAGTTTAAAAACAGGCGTCCATCATGTCGGTACAAGGTCCTAGACAAATACCGCGCACATTCAAAAGTGAGCCCAAGTTGACCCCTCCCATAAGAGAGGTTGGGAGAAAGAAAAAGCCTACATTGTCCTTGGATACGGCGACGAAACGGTTTAGAGACGTGGTACCCAAACAAAAGGGTACGAAAACTGAGGATAAACTAGCGCGGGATGTGGTCAAAAGTCATGAGGACCTTGTCAAGATGACAGTTGTGGAGGTTTGGTACCTTTGGTTCTTCAAAGTGCTGGGGTTCAAAACAACTGTTCTTATATATTGAAACTGAATATAGGAATCATACCGATCTCCGCTGCCTCTACCACCTGTCCCGACAGATCCGCATCCGACACTCGTGAGCGTGGAGGATGTTCAAGAACGGCTACTTGATTGCACTGTTGCAGCGCATGCTGCGGGGAAACGAATCAGCGAAGCAGGAAAGTTAGGCCGGGTGGTTCAAGACATTGCCGTAAGTCGCAGCTTGTCGCTCACATTGGCAACACCTTACTAATTGTGAACTCCAGGATGCCTTTATGGCCCGTAAGGCAGATCTCATCCAACACATTCGGACGTCCAAAGCGCCATCACTAGCTTCCCCGAGTACAGCAACAACTACAAAGCCTCTCACTCCTGTCACGCCGAACACAATACCTCTAACCCAGTCCCTCACCACTCTGCACAAATCTGTGTGTGCCCTCACGTACCAGCTGCACTACTACAAAACACATACGCTGCCACTACCAGGGACGAAAAAGCGGAAACTGTTCCTCCTTTATATAGACATGTGTGAAGCTTGGAGGGATTTGGTAGGTTCGTCCCCTTACGGATCCGCAGACCGGAAGCTCATGTCAATGACATTAATACTCTCCCGTCCTATAGATGATACAATTGACACTGTCTATCGCACAAAACAGCTCCGACGCCGCATCAAGCGCAACGGGGAATGTGGCAAAGCTGGCTGTTGCGACGGGTGCACCGGATTGGCAAGGTAGCGTATGCATCATTCCAACTGTCAGCATCTCATGGAGTGTTCATTTTTCGTTCAATTACAATGACAGATCTGACAATTGATGACGCACAAAAGCTGTTCTTGCAAGGCGACAAGTACCTTTTAGGATTTGGTGTGCTAAGATCATACGATATCGCTTTTAAGCGGTATATGGTATGTAGCTGGAAATCAGCCTCTCTCAGATTAAATTACAAGGGCCGCTTGCTAATCATCAGCGACTTTGAACACAGGCTGCAGCAAAATTTGGTCTACCAGAAGCGATCAACATGCTCGGACTGATGTTTGAGCACGGGCTGGGGCGACCAAAGGATATGGCTGCAGCCATTAAATGGTATCAACAATCCGCCAATAAGGCTCACCCAGAATCCCTTGCCAACATGGCCCGCATCCACGAGACCGGAAAAGGTGTCCCAACAGACCCGAAAACCGCCTATGAGCTATATCTCCTTGCGGCTGAGGCAGGGCACTTGGACGCCATGTGTTCGCTAGGAAATCTTCTCGAAACAGGGTCGGGATGTACCAAAAACGCGGCGGAGGCTGTGAGATGGTATCGAGTCGCAGCAGAGCAGGATTGTCCTCGTGCACAAAATGCCCTTGGAAGCGCCTATTACCGGGGTATTGGGGTAGCGAAAGACTACGGGGAAGCGGTGGTGTGGTATCGGCGTGCCGCAGAATGCGGGGATCCAAATGCACACAATAATTTGGGTATATGTTATGAGGAGGGACTTGGGGTTGCAAAGGATGTGGTAATGGCAAAGACACTATACAAGCTAGCGGCGGAAGCTCGACATCCAAGCGGAGTAAACAATCTAGGTTATCTGTGCATGACCGAGGTGAGTTTAGATGATTCATCAGAGACGTTTGAAGCGCCAAACTGACGAAGACTTCGCCTTGCGTGGTAATACCGAAAGAACAATTTCATGGAGGCCATACGATTATTCCATTTAGCGTTATCATTGGGAAGGTAGTATGACCATGCAGCTCTTTCATCAGCAAAACTCAAGGCTCACTGCCGGTTCTCTACATAGTGTTGATGCTGCCTACAACCTGGGAATACTGTATGAGACAGGATGCCGAGACGGTGAAGGGGCTGTGCTCAACCCAGACTGGGAGATGGCTTCTCGATACTACAAGGAGGCGGCTGATAAAGTGAGAGACGCCCAGTGCCGGATGGTCACTGCGCTCCATTGACTGACTAACCGCTTTGCTTTTCCGTTCCAAAGAACTCCATTAAAGCTCAACTTCGCCTCGCCAACCTCTTAACTACCGCCCCACCCCCACTTCAAAGCTACACTAAGGCCGTTCACTACTTAACCATCGCCGCAACAAGCACACACGAGGGCAACCCAGAGGCTCAAAATATGCTCGGAGAAATGGTAGAACTTGGTCTCGGAACCGCAGAGAGCGGTCCGGATCATGCCACTGCCGCAAAATGGTACCGGCGCGCAATGCGCCAGGGACATGCAAGAGCAACTTTTAATTTGGCAGCATTGTTCGAGGCCGGTGTTGGTGTTGGACGGGATGTAGAAAAGGCTCTTCGCTTATATGAGGAGGTGAGCTACCTATCGCGCAACCAAAAGCGTTTTTCTTCCGTTTACATATACTGATATTGTCTGCATTTGTTGTAGGCTGAATTGCGCGGAAGTCCTCATGCCAGAGAGCGCATCCAAGCGCTTAAGGAGCTTGGATTGGTGCATCAATAACAATTAGGCAATTGGGTTCAGAGGACGTCATGTAGTGTTTCTTTCATTTGTGCGTTGTGTTTACTCTGGTTCTTTTTACTGTTTAATAAACAATCATACGTTTGCCGTCCTCCGGATGTGAGATCAATTCACTTTTGCAAGCCTTAACGTTTATTTTCCTACGTACATCTCTCAATGTGCCGCATGTCCAATGGCTGAAGAGGCTCCTGACAGGTGGTCTTTTGAAGGGAAGGATGGAGTGCATGACCTATAGTTCAGGCAGGAAATTCTCCTTGCTGTAAAGGTTCCTGAGCTTGTCCAGCACGCTACACGGTGAGTGTTTCGTTGCCTTCCTCCTTTTAGCAGCTGTCCTCCAACCCTTCGTAGTTATATTCTGATGCTATATAACAAGGAATAACTCACTTCATGGAACTCAATTAGAGCTATCATAAATACTTGCTTATATTTTTGCGTTTGAAATAGTCCCTGGTTTTCCCAGGACACTTATCATCTAATTGATGCATCCAAAAGGGATTGGTATGTAAGAAGGCTCACCATGGTCGATGGCCTGGGCCTTCCCGAGATTCAAGTGAAAACACCAGGTTGATAACCCAGCATGGACAAAAAACAAGAAACCATTCTCAAGGGAAACACTGTTTTGATCATGATGGTAGAAACTTGCAGGTTCAACCTACCCAGCTCACCAGTAGGTTCGGCTCCTGAAGCCAATCGCTGCGAATAACCATTCAGCCAACAGGCTGGATCACGGCTGGTTTGAGACAACCGTGCTGTCTCTGCGGATGCTTTCCTACCAGAAGTTCTGAGCAATAGCGACGGCCCAAAGCGTTCAATGTGTCGTGCAGAACGTAGCTTCATTGCGGCGTTGCCCTTACTCGACATTTCCACGCGTTGTGGAGCCGTGTGTTCTAGCACGCGTTCGTATCCTCCTACACCCCAAGGGGTGACACGACATTGCAGACAATTTCAGTTGTCTATTTGTTCTTGAACATTGTTATGCCTTCTGTTCGCGGGTACCTTGTTTCCTCGGAATGGGCGCTGGTCCGCTCTCCCTCGAAATGGATGACGTGGGATCTCATCGCCGGGATGGACTGGGCGGACAGGTCGTGGAACGCAATGTGGATGTGGGGTTTGGAAAAGGGACTTGGATTCCAAGTTGGGTACAAAGTCTATAACGTCGGTTCGGTAGTGATCACAGGTGCGGGATCGGGTATTGGGGCCCATGCTGCTAAAACACTGGCAGAGGAAGGGTACACGGTGTTTGCAGGTGTACGTAATCTGGAGGATGGAAAGCGTCTTCAAGAGCAACTTTCGTCTCCCGTTTCCAAGAATATTGTGCCCATTTTGCTGGATGTGACAAATCCGACGCATGTCAACCGGGCTGGTGAACTGGTCCGAGCCGAACTCTCCCAGCATAGCTCCTTGCAACCGCTGGTAGCCATAGTTAATTGTGCTGGCATACCCTGCGCTTCACCCATAGAAACGATATCCTCTTCCCAAATGCGACAATGCCTAGAGGTCAATGTCATTGGTCCGGTACGAGTATGTCAAGAATTTATACCCCTTTTGCGTGAAAGTGGTGGACGAGTCATCAACGTGAGTTCTGCGGCTGGGTTTATGGCATGTCCATTAAATGGCGGTTACGCTGCTAGCAAGATGGCATTGGAGGCTTTATCGGATAGTTTGAGGGTAGAGATGCAGAGGTGGGGATTGTCTGTCTCTGTCATCGAGCCTGGTAGGATATAGTGTGCTGATTGCCATGCTGACAATCATGTTGATTGTGTTCTTGCGTCGCAGGAGCGGTGGACACCAAACTCTGGTCAGAATGCAGCAACCAGTCCCAACTTCCATCTCCCTCTGAACACCTCTACAGTCCTCTCGTCACCTCCCTCAAATCTCTCACGATTGAAACCCGTCAGGGCCTCATCTCGCCCAGGCACACTACCCGAGCCATCCTGCACGCTATTAAAGATCGGTACCCGAAAACACGATATTTGGTTGGGTACGATGCGCGGTGTGCTGCGTTCATGCGTGCGTGGGTACCAGATCGAGTGCTGGATTGGGCGTTTTGGCTGGTTTTGGGAGAATCGAGAAATCCTTGAATTGTGCGACGTTATCGCTGAGGCAATGCCTTTTGAAAGTGGGACTTGCCATTATATTTAGTGCATTTTCACTGTATTTGACATGAGATATTTGACTTAAGCCTATTTGAAACCGTACATGCCTTGCGTTTATCACAGTCGCATGGGATTCAAGAGTGCATGAAAGTAGGCAGTGGTCAGAAAGACAACTGACGGGCATCGGAAATCGAATGTCTTTTTGTTTGTAGCTCTGGGCTTTTTGCGCCTCTGAGAATGTAACCCCAAAAGACGAACATTGGCTGATACTTTGGCCATTTTATTTTTATATTGTTGGTATCTGTTCTGATGTCTCTCTAATAAATAAAAGTGAAAATTTCGGAATGTTTCCTTAATTCAAATGGACAGGCTACTCATACAAGAAGCTACTAGGCAGCAACAATGTGTTTACTGAACAGATACTATTCAAGCACATTGGTAAATATTATCGATGTTGTGGCAGCTGACATCATTCTGGCAAGACTGGCAAGTGTATATGACTCTTGGTCACACTATTGTTTCGTCCTCCTTGGGAAACGACGCTGTAAAAGTATCACTTCAGAGAGGCTCGTAAATGTTCATTTGGTTAGTTACGCCGCATTCAGAAGCTGCCGGTCCACTGCGTAACAGCCCTCGAGTAGATCCGCGGGAGTAACAGCGTAAACACTTGCCACGGGTTGAGCAAATCCAAAAACCCTGGGTTTGAAAATACGGGGGGCAATCAGGGTACGACAAATACTTCCACGGGTCTTTTTTATATAAACGTCCATTACACACATCCCGCGCTAACCAAGGAAAAACGGGGGATGATGGACAGTCGGTGGCCATCCATGGACGCCAGAGGGACGCGGTCACTTCAGAACAACTTTCTTGATCTCTTAGCCCAAATGTCGTCATTTGGACAAGGAGGTTTTTGATCTTGTGGACATGTTTTTGAACAATCCTTGGTAGAGTTTTGACACATAGACCCAGATATTACTTTTATATTAAACAACACACAATCAAGTTCACTAAACAAAGCGATTGCCAAATATCGAAATTAAAGAGCTCCTGTGCGTACCTCCCTATGAGTAAAAAAGGTATCCGAGGAGATCATTTGCAAAGTCCCCTCACAGAAAAGGTGTAGGGCGCCCACAGGGGATATGTCAGAGACACTGGCGGGACATCATCTTTCCATGCTATAAACCAGCCCTTTTTCGTCAAATGAGCACATGTGTGTGTTTAACTTGCGCTCAAAAACAGGAAAAATAGAAATTTGATTATTATTAGGGGCCGGCTAAAGCCGATATTATTATGACCACCAAATGATTCTGTTGTGCTGGATGGGTACATTTTATTTATATATTTGCACGTCGTGTCCACACCGAATTTGCTAATGTTCGTCACCTCTTGATTTCCTCAGCATACAGCAACAGCCACCGCCCCTTGTCTCCCCTTCTTTTTGCCCTTCTTTTTCTTCTTCTTGATCGTTGGTCCGGCAACCGCCACATTGTTCACAATGCCCTCGTGGACTTCACATACCCGATCTGGATCAGTCTTCCACTCCCCATCGACAACAAACTTGTAGAGAACCCGTTCACCAGTGACGAGTGGTACGGTCGCTGAAAAGAGGGAAGGATGCGTTGGACTTGGGGTGAGATGGACACTTTGGGACCAGTTGTCAAATGTGCCGGTGACAATCACATCTTTGCCGCCGTGTCCCCATGTGAATTCATAGGGTGTGGTGTTTGGCTTGTCAGAGTGCGCAGATTCTGCTTCGCTGGTACTTGTTTCTACCAATGTATCGTCTGACGCGACGGTCCGGAGCATCTCCTTCTTTTCCGAATGAGGACGAAGCGTTTGGATCACCTCATCGCGTTCCTGTACCAAGGAGTGTAGCCGTTCCAATTCTTTTCTGGTAACATCCAGTTCGGATTTCATCCGGTCATTCTCATCTCTTGTGGCATGTGTGGTTTGTAGGGAGTCTTTAAGTCGTCCCATCGTGGATTTGCAAAGTTCGTCCAGGCCCCATAAGCGGGTCTGCGTTTCCTCCAGTTGTTGTTCAACAGCATGCTGTGCTTCCGTTGACTCTTGCAGCTGCTTTGCAAGTGCAGCAATTTGCGCTTCAGCGTCAACTTTAGCGGCCTTTAGGATAGTTATCTCCTTCTTGTCGCTTGACAACGTCCGTACTTGCTCCATCTCCTTTTCCAGGGTATCCACGCGAGAAAGAGCTTCATCCCGCGCTGTTCGCAAAGACGATTCCAATCTCTCAAGATCCTCGATCTGCTTCCTCATTGTCTCAGCCTCAGTCCGTGCAGCAACTTCCGTTTCTCGGATCGCACTTGACTCTGTCAATAGGCTCGCTTTCTCGCCAATAAGCGCATCAAGCTCTTGTTTTAATTTACCAGACTCAGATCGGGCTGCTTCAAGCTCACTCTGAACGTCAGCCCGGCTTTTGGTTAATCGAACCACTTCATTCTGATGCTCTTTAACTTCAACCTCAATAGCCGCTCTCATCTTGGCTCCTTCCTCTACCTGCGTTCGCAGGCGCTCAATCTCTTCATGAAGCAATTCCTCTCCAGTCAACGAACTCTTGAGGTTGGCCAATTCCTGGTTGCTCCGATGTGTCAGTGTTCGCTGCGACTCAAGCTCCTCTTCAACTCTTCGCTTTTCCATTTTCAAGCTTTCCAGTTCCTCTTGGAGTGTCTGAATGTCGACCATCTCTTTCCTCAATCGGCCCATTGTAGATCGGGTGCCGTCCAACTCTTTCCTCAAATCATCAATTTCGTCCCGCGCCACTTCGAGCTCTCCCTCAACTTTACGTAGTACACTTTCCAGTTCATGGCGGGTGTTTTTGAACACAAGTTCACTCTCTTGCAGTTTTGCTTCCAATTGGCTGCCGTTAACTTTTGCTTCTTGTGCGGCTTGTCGAAGTGTATGTGACTCTGCCAGCTGATCAGCAAAGCGTTCGCGCTCTGCCGCCAGATCTTTTTGGACGCGGTGGAATTTGTCGTCAAGTTGAGCGAGTCGGTGCCTTGCTTCAGCGGCCTCTCGACGAGTGGCCTCGTTTAATTGATCCTTCTCCGTCAATTGAGTTAGGAGTTGTTGGTTTCTAGTCTCAAGCTCGTGAATCGTTTGGCGATACTCATTGTGCACGGCTTCTTCTTTGAGTTTTGTGGCACGATCTTGTGATTCCTTTGCATTCAGCTGATTTGCGACTAATGATTGTGTAAGGACGCGGTTGGTGTCGCGCAAAATCACCATTTGGGTTTGAAGATCCTCAACGGTTTGCTGCACAGCACGGACGTCGCTGATTTCCGAGATGAGACGTTCATTCTCTGCTGCAAGTCGTTGGCTCTCTGACTGCATCTCTTGGAATAAGTGCGATTTCTGGGAAAGCAGAGATTCGAGATTTTGTATTATCGACGCGGATTCTGCTACTTGGTTCCGAACCGACGCTAGTTCTTTCTGAAACTCTGTCACTCTGGGATGATCCTGTTCACCTTCTTTTTTGAGAACTGAGACAGGAATCGCGGCCAAGTCTGCGGTTTCGTCAATGACTAACGCTATTGGTTCCAGGTCACCCTCCAACAGAGCCTCTTGAGACGGAATGCCAATCTCAACGGTTGCATCAGCAAAATGCACGACGGAAGCGATGTGTTCATCCGTCACGCTATCAACACTCTGTTCGTTCACGTTCGTATCCCGATGATTTTCCGCCAGTTCTTCCCTCATCACTTTGACGGGCTTGCGTTTCGCCTTGCGGGGCAGAACAGGAGGCTCGGTGGGTTTTTTATGTCCTTGCTTGGGCTTGGCCAGTCGACTTAGATGCAACAGATCTTCAATATTATCCTCCTCGGGGGCCAATATTTCTTCCTCTTCTTGCTCTTGTTCCTCTGTTTTGTCAGAGACGGTGGGTACTGGGACAGCATGGGTGGGAACAGCCACGGGTTTCGTTACGTGCTTGTGCTTCTTCTTTCCCTAACCGTCCAACGAATAAACGTCAAACCAATGTCAAATATGATTCCAAAGGTTCACACGCACAAGCAACCACAGACCTTTTTCCCCTTTTTCCCCTCAGATTTCCTCTCTGTTCTTGATTCCGCCTTGATCAGCTCCTCCATCGTTTCAACGCGATCAAGATCTTGCTCCGATGCAGCTTTCTTGATGAGCCAGAAATATAACGCCAGAGCCGCGCCTCCAATCGCGAGAGTCCCAATGACGAGGACGGGAAAGGTTGGGTTGTCGTTGGTGGTGGACATTGGTATGGATCTGTTTGGATCTGTGTCAGAGCATTGATTATGGGGAATCCCAGAAAATATTGCTTACCAATCACCAAACGAATATATATCGATCCCTACGAGCAATCCTACTGGTCTCTGGATCTCTCTATGCACACAGTCGCCACTCTATCAGCGCGTGGATGAGCCAAATGTCAAATTCCCTCGTCGTTGATGACGCAGTCGTCAAGCTAACCAGTTTGTCAAAAGACGCAATTCCCACCGTCATTTGGCATCTGGACTAAGCCACCATGGGTATACCACGTGATATACTTTTTGACACGTGCCAGAATTAACCCAAATTGTTTGGTCGCTGGAAGGGGTCATAACAGCGCACGACGCAAGAACAAATGAAAGGCCACTACGAGGCCGAGCGTTTTTTTGGGGGGGGTGACCCATGACTGGGAAGGAAGATAGCACAGGGCTGGGGAAGCGCCATGGAGCTCTGACTGTGTAGCCTCCGATGGTGGGGCCCCTTTTTTACGCGTTTAGTCTTCAGGGATTGAGGGTGACATTAGCACACCCAACGAAAATGACTCAAGGGACGCAAAAGCTCCGGATCTCAGCCGATGTGCAATTCCCCCCCTCCTTGGCAACATGGAATATCAAGTGGTCAGTCGCCTGTTTTTTTATAGTTCTGCTTATCTCTCTCTGCTGTTGGCATTCATTCTTTGCTTATTATTGTTTATGCAATGAGCAACCTGTACATTGACCTCTTGTCATGCCCGCCTGACAATCTGCTTAAAAGTGTGCAGCGGTAGCACACATGGATTGACACCAATCCTTCGCTCCCTCCTCCTGGAAGGGTTGGGGTTTCCGGGTGGACGGGTGGAAATGTACGACGGATTGCGTCATCATATCCGTAATCCGACGCAATGGCAAATGGAATGCATTGGATCCACAATACAGCATAGCCCACTATGTGTTTGTTTGTTTTTTTTTTGACGGGAACTCTTTTTGACGCGGGATGGCCATGTTTACAAGATACATGGATACGGGCCGGCGGGCATGCTCATGACAAGGATATTTAGTATGGATGAGGCTAACTTTTGTTGAAAAAACCCAAAATAAAACAATAGGAATGTGATGCGGTGTGCCATAACTATTAAGCAGTTTTTCCAGAATAGCTTTGCAGAGAATAGCACACTCCAGGGTGTTCAATAAAAGTGTTCATTGTTTACCTCGGTAAACGGCCACGATCTTCCACTCTTTCACACCATCTCTCCAACATTAAAAACGCAACACCCAACCCATTTCTTTTATTTTTTTTATTCTTTCATCTCGGCAACCAAAAAGGTCCTTAAGAAAGTCGAAATAAAGACGTCTAAAACCTTTTAAGCTGAAACAATAAAAGTAACGCGCTTTTTTATTAGGACTCTCTCTGCTCTCACTTGCAGTCCCCACACACGTTTTTTTAGCGGCCCTCCGCACGGTCGGAACACACACACGGCGAACGCGGACGACATTACAAACGGGTGTTGGAAGTCGGCAACGTTCCCGCCGACCATCCGCTTGGCAACTGAACAAAAGAAAGAAATTCCATCGCTACGGTCGGCCCTCCCAGTTTGTCGTTTTTTGATCGTGCGCGTCTTTGGGCAACAAAAAAAAAAAGTTTCGGTCCCGTCGCCCCGGGAACGTTCGTAGTGTCGCCCCCTTCGTTTCCCTTCGCCCCCCCGTAAACCCCCTCCTCGTCCATTTCCCCCTCGTCGTTCCGGTCGTTTGTTGGCACCCGTTGTTGGGGAACGACAAAGGTGTTGGGCCGTGAGAGAGATAAGATTTTTCTCACTTTGTCGTCGTCGTGGCCGTCGCTACTGCGAGACTCTGTCTTTATTATTCTTATTTGATATCTTTCCGGCCGATATCGTCGCCATTGAGGAACAAGCGTCCTATTTTGTTATTTGGTAACCATCTCGGTGTTTGTCGTCCTTTTGATTGACGCGCCGGCCCCGGGTAGCGGGCAATAGACCCGAAAGGAAGAAAAAACGGGGACACACTTGGTACGAAATGAGGCCGCTCTGAACATCGCCATTGCAAAAGTCAACACACACATACACGCCACTACCCACCATCTTTCGGCATTCGTACTCGGGTTTCTGTTGTCTGTAACGCGCTTGGTCGCCTTCCCCGTTCCGCCTGTAACTTTTACTTTTTTTTTTGTTTTGACACGGGAGAATGCAGGTAGGTCATTTCACGCCATGACCTCTGACCCACGCACAAGACTCTTGTACTTAGTTCTTGTCTAGGACGCGAAAGTTGAAAACGGGACGTTGACGTCGGACCCAGAGTCGCAGCAACAGCCACCACCACAGGAACCATCGCCGATTATACAACAAGTTGACACTCCAGAGGTAGTGCCAGTGCAGCAGGAATTCCAGGCCGTCCAGACACACCAGTTCCAATCAACAAAACAACAGTTGCAATCATTAGCAGTACCCGTTCCCAGACCGGTCGCTCAACCCAATCTTCTCCCAACAAATCCACCACAGCAGCCACAGACACGGCAACCACAGCAGCAGCCACCGACGACACAACCACAACAGCAGCAGCGACCGTTATCAAACATCCGCGCAAATGCTCGCCCTCCACACGCCCTTCGGCAGACGAGGTAATTGTCCTTGTCACATTCAACATTTGTCAATACTCATACCGCTCACTACCAATGCTTTCTGTGACTAGATACTGTCTCTTGATCCGGCAGCAACCGGAAACGGCACGATGCTGTGGATTCGGCGGTGAGAAGCTAAATAACCGACCGGTAGATCCATGCGTCATTGTCCAGCTTGCCGCTGTCAAGGAATCGGGGGAGATTGATACAAGGTATGCCTCTGCCTCAAATCTGTACTCCTGTCGACAGGTCACCTAATGCTTGGTTTCGCATTTTCTTCTCTCTTTGCTCTTTGCCTGCCTTAGCTTGCAGGCTCTGGGCGATGTATCAGCTATGGTTGCCCACGCCTCATTGCTTTCGGAAAACGGCAAGGAAGATCGGAGCGTTGTCCTCGTTCCACCAACGATGCCACCTGTCCTCCTTGCTCCAAATCAGTGGAACGACCCTTTAGCTCAAGAGCTCTCTACTGTTGGGCCAGCGTCTGACGCGCCAATAACAGGGGCAGAAATTCTTGCGTCGATGGGTAACCCGGCACCAGAGGTAACGCCCGGCGCGGCTCCTGCCCTGGAAGGGAGCTCTGGCAGCGGAAATGGAAACTACATGGGCGCTCCCGTCACCCCACCCATGGAGGAACAAGAATGGAACTCGGTTGCACCTGCAGAAGGACAGCCACTATCTGCATCCCTGTCACGAGAGGATCTTACCGTATCCACAATCCCTGAACCCTCATCATCAACCGAACCCACATCTATGGATCTCAGCGGAGAAGGATCTGCATCAACATCAATGACACCGACGGCGTCAGCAAGCGTTGCCCCAGCTGAGGCATCGACGGAGGAAGAAACCACTGAGGAATCAGAGTTTGGTCCACCCGATGAATGCCACAAGTGGGAGCGAACATTGTCTGGATCACTAGTATCGTCTTGTCATTATCTTACGGATTTGAGCGGGTCCAAGGGAGCGTACTTTGTGTTTCCGGATCTTTCTATTCGGGTCGAGGGATCATTTCGACTAAAGGTGATACTGACAAATCTTGCCAGGTAAGAGGACGACGACAAGTGGCGTTTTGATTTCCTTGGATCTTTTCTTATATATATTGGAATTGAGCAGTATATACAGCGGGAATGTGGATAAGCCGGCTGTGACGGTGTGTTCAGCAGTGTCACAACCATTTTCATCCTTTAATGCTCGCGATTATCCCGGACTGAAAGGTGGGATGAACAGCAAATTTTGATTGTCTCCGGTACTATGTATTCATTCAGATTTACATTTACGAAACCAGAATCAACGGAACTGTCAAAGCATTTTGCCGATCAAGGTATCAAAATACCTATCCGACGGAAAACCCGACGACGGTACGGTAATTTTGAGTACGAATGATCCATCTGAGGAAAGACGCATTCCTCATACGACTATTGTGGCTGGCCCCCATAAACGGACACTATTCTCCCAATGAATGCACAAACCGAGATATTTTACATTTTTTTACTCTATTGGAGGACGTACGAGAGTACCTCCTTTTTGAACGGGTAACGTGAGTTGAAGGACAATAAGATGGGCTGGGTAGAGAGGGAGACGTTTTGGACTGTTGTTTTTTTTTTCCTTATGGATTTCCAATCGACGGTGGACATTTGTAAAAGAAAAGGGGGGGAGGGGCATGGTGTGTGTACACGCTCGCACATTTTTTTTTTTTAATACTGCGTGAGAATAATGGGATGGACGACCTGGATAGATTCCAGCAGGATGGGATGGAGGGTTCTGCCTTGTGCCTGATGCCAAAACATGTGAGATTTAAAACACCTTTTTCTTTTGCGGGACCATTAGAATGAGCTATTCGCCTAGTTCTTGTTTTCCCTTTTTGATTTTCTTTCTTGCTGTAATGATTGCCATGAATGGATCTTTGCTATCCGATACGGTCTTACGTTGATTTTGCAGAGCGCAAGCGCAGGCATGAGGCATTTTCACATGCGTGGATGAAACCAAAAAGTATCGACAATCGCTTTAATGCGCATGTCTTTGAAACTCTTTGCTGTGCTTGGTCGACAATCTCCCTTTGTTACAAATGCAAGACACGCTACTGTGACTTGTCAGAGCTCTGATAACCGTCTCAAATCACGATGCCCTTGCCAGATCCGGCAGTGTCATTTCGCAAGACTGTAGGCTTGCACACTAGTGACAAATACTCCAAACTCTTATCGCGTACATATATTCACCTGCAAAAAAAACCATCCAGGCTATATTCAGAAAACACTTTACCCGATGCACTTGTGCCCATCTCATCCAACAATGCTCCCATTGTCCATTGTTCCCGAGGATTCCAACATTGTCCGCAAGGTCCGAACCGAGGCACTGCCTTTTATCCCCTGAATACGGGTTTTATGGGTTTGCACATAAAAACCTACCATCTACCAATTCCACCAACAAATTGCACATCCATGGTCCCGGCAGATGGCACGCGCGAATCGCACCCATGGCAACTAGAGGCTTGCGTAAGCTACCAGGCCGCGTGGTCCGATCGCTGCCAAAGCCTGTTTTGACAGCTTTTAGACTAGCTCTTTGCGAGTCGAAGCACAGAGGTCTGTGCCCGTTTACAGAGAGTTACAATTAAATACTCTGCGCTAATATCGAATATCAGCACCATTTCTCTTGTTCTGTATAGTGATGATGCTTCACCAGCAAGGCCAAGAAGACGACAACCTGTCAATTCTACCGACGAGCACTTTTATGAATCAACTGTCAAGTGAGAACGAGCTAGTCGATCAAGCAGATCAAGCAGACTTGCTTGAGATGGTGGAGAAATTTGATCAATGGGCTCGTATTAATGGGTAGGACTGTACTCTCTCTTGATTTTCAGGATTTTATACATGTGGTTCATGTGTTTTGCATTTTTCTGGTTTGAGTAGGCATGCAAGTCATGAGGAACATTCCGAAAAGCAAGAGAATGGAAATTCAAAAGATGAAGGATCCAGGATCGAAGAAACCGCGTTGGATCCGAACGAGTTTATGCAGTCTGGTAATGCATCATGAACCTGCCTGATCATACTCTTTCCTTGCCACTCATATCCGCTCACGCAAAAACCAGGTCCACTCATCCCCATCATATGCAACCTGTTAAGAAAGCTGTATCCTGCCCGGGCCGAGCCTCTTTCTCAGCGTATTACATCAGAGGACTGCAAATTCCTCACACAGGAGCTACGCAATTTTCAAGTACAAGCGTCGCATTCCTATCGCCGGCGATATCGCATTACCGAACTCACCTCCCAAACCTCAAACTCAATTGTGCTCGATGTGGACGGTAAAGCCATGACGGTTCGCGAATATTTTTTGGAGAGGTATGGAGTGACATTGGAGTACCCGGATTTTCCATGTGTTGCGATAAAGAAACCCAATGGATGGAGTTACTTGCCCTGTGAGCTCTGTGAGATTGTTGAAGGGCAGAGGATTTCTACAAAATTTTGGGAGATAAAGGTGACGCGTGTTTTTCTTTGGAATGGCTTCCTTCTTGTTATTTTTACTGAGCCGTGTATGCAAAAGGAACCGACCTTGACTCCAGCATCGTCCGAAACACAAGAAAATACCAAACGCAAAAAACAAGAAAACAATGTCCAACCTCAACGCAAGTCCACACTCTTTCCCTCCCATCCTCGCGAACACAGCTTATACCGTCGCACCTCCACCTTTGGTGTCGCCCCTTCAACATGGGTAACACGTATGGCTCTATCCCTCTGTCTGCGCTGCGGACATCCTTCCCACAAACTCAGACAATGCGCTCTGTATCCGATCATTGGTGAAGAATTGTCTTGGAAGGATGTACCAGACTATGTCGAGATGGGCGTTTCTATCCCGACTGTAAAAGAGAAATGGGGAATTGAGGAAAGTGAGTGGTTTAAAAGGCTGGAACATGGTGCTTGTGCGATATGTGAAGGCAAGCATCGCGTGCGAGATTGTGAGGTGCTTCGAAATGTGGATGGGAAGGTTCCTGCGAGTACAAGCGAAGACAATGCGGAAATCATGGAGGACACTACGAAGAAGAACCAGGGTGCTGCAGAGGAGAGTGAGCAGAGTGTTCAGACTCACCTTGATGAGAGTAAAGCCACGGAATCCGGCAATACCTCTGTCGAGTCACCAAACAGCAAAGAGACAGCTGACAGTGAGCAGAGCGTTCAGACTCTCCTTGATGAAAGGACAGAACCCACCAAAATTCCCGTGGAGTCAACAAAAAACAGGGAGACAGAGGACCACGCAGCAACTGATGTACCAGATCAATCCCTTGATACGTCTCTGGAAAATACTCTTCCGACAGAAATGCCATCTACACTCGCCAACACAGATCAACCCCCCAACCTCACATGCCAAGTCGACGTAGAGGGCTACACTAACATCCTCCCAACAGGCAAACTCAAGAAAAAAATTCTCAAACCCGGTTCTGGGCCCGCCGTTGAACCGCAGTCTTTTGTTAAAGGTGGGTTCCTCCGTATGATACTCTAAACGCCCGGTACCCATCCTGTTTTGATTCTAGTCCATTACGAGGGATGGGTAGACGGACCCGGAGGTATGATGTTTGATTCGAGTTGGGATCGGGGCTCCACGTTTGATTTTACGGTTGGAGAAGGTTTGTCTTTTTGATTTCCTTAGTAAGCCGTGATGGCATCTTAATCACTATACCATCCAGGAGATGTGATTCCTGGCTGGGATATGGCAGTGCAGACAATGAAAATGGGGGAAGAAGCAGAGTTCATTGTTGATTCTGAACTTGGTAAATAGTCTGTCTTGGACTGTTTTGTTTCGATATCTTTGCGAATGCTCATGTGCGGGTGTTTTTATAGCGTATGGAGAGAAAGGGTATGACTCGGTGATTCCGCCACATGCTGCCCTGAGGTTTACTATCCGGGTAATGCATGTAGACCCGGTAAGTTTTCCCCACTTGATATTGTACGTCCCAGTCTTTGCTAATAAAAACATCGAAAACAGCCTCAATCCACCTTACCAGCTAGAATCTCCGAAGCCATTGCCCTAAAAAACGCTGGCAACGTATCCTTCCAGTCCCAAGATTACCCAACTGCCGTCAAGTCCTATCGCAGCGCGCTTCAGCTTCTCAAACACACTTGGAATGCCCCTCCTGCGCAAGAACTCGAACTACAGTTCATTCGTACAGCCCTGTTTTCTAACTTGGCTGCTGGATTACTCCACATGGGACAGCACACCGATGCGATCCGTGTGTGCCGTGAGGGGTTGTGGAGTGAGCCAGAGAGTGTAAAGTTGTTGATAAGCTTGGCGAGAGGGTTAAAGAGCTCGGGAGAGTTTGCCGAAGCTTTGCAGATTTTGGAAAAGGCTGAACTGGTATGTTTATTCTCTTTCTTTTTTTTTTTATCTTGGTCAGGCTGGAGACCATCAACATGACCATTCAATGCAATTTTTGTAATTTCCTTGTAGTTTGATCCCAACAACCCGTACATCGCAAGTGAACGAATCCAGATTCAAGTCATCCAGCGTCGACTCGCCAAACAAGAAAAAGAAATGTATACCAGAATGATGAGTGCGTTGTCGTCATAAGCCAGCCTTGAACAGCTATTGTGTGTCCTTTTTTTGCAATGTGGCTCCTATTCGTTTTATTCGGCGTATTTTGAGCATCAGTGCGATTATGGGAATTATTTCTTTGTATAGTGTGAGCAAAGCCTAGCATCTGATGTCCATAGTTTTTCTTTTTTGTGTGGTTATTGCTGGTTTGGGTTATATGAGTATATTCCTGCAATAGAACATTCTGTTTTTGCAAACTTTGTTTACTGGCCGGGCCACGCCCCCCATTTCTTACGGCTTCAATTGGGAGGCGAAATCCTTTACTCAATGTTTAAACGACTGGACGGACACCACAAGTACCACTCCATCTGTTCATGCCAGCACAAAGGCGTGTTCTCCAAATATATCCTCAGCAACCTCCTGTTCGTAATTAAGTGTTACAACGGAATAATTGAAGGCAGCATGAGCTGTTCTTGTTTGGTCAAAACAAGGCAGAATATAGCATTATCGCCGCAATAAGGAATCAAACCAGCAAGCGCACTTCTTTTCTGGGTTTTCCAAAACAACTTGTTTGAGCATGCCAAAAGCCGAAAGATGTTACATTCATTGCCATAGCGTATCTGACCAGATTGTCCTGCCAATTCGCGTACCTGTTTATGGTCACAGAATGACGGTTTACGGCTCATCCGTATAGGAATATGTTAGAAGGAAACTAGCATTCAAAAGAATATTAATGGTTTGTTGCTGTCATGTGCACAAAAATAAAGATGGAATGGTTCAACCTCTGATTTAATAGACACTGCCTTTAACTGATCTCCTAATCTCGTCAATCAAGAATCTTGATGCCAAAAGAAGAACCGGCATCAAATGTTGAAGACGCTTTGTTATTCACATTGGCCAGCTTACAACTTTACTTTTTGTCTACATGGTGGATATCAGATCTATACTATCCGGTTAATATTAGGATAAAGACAAAAGTATTACACAAATCTCTACATAGCCTGCTATATGTTCATGTCCTGCGAGCCAGATAAAAGAGAAGAACTAAAACGTTTTATTTTTTTCCGACTAGCAAGCTTCATACCCTCATTTCCTAGACCGTGAAAAGGAGGGATGGCTTACCTCGCATGATGTACATTGAAACTTGGCCAACAGTCCCACCGGAGAAGGCAGTCAATTCGGCAAAGATTTTGAGCATTTGGATACATGGGACATGAAATTTCTCGTAACCATTTGCCAAAAGGGTATAAAGTTGAGGTTCTAATGGGTAGTTGATGCCGTTTGAGGAGTGTTTTGACGTCCCTTCATTCGAATCCTTTCCTCTGCCGGGATGCAGGAAAGCAACCGGCGGATATGAATCCTCTTCTCTCTCGAGGTTTTGAATAGCAGTGGCAGACACTTTGAGGATCTGCATCTAGAAAGGAGTCATTTGTTCGAAATACTCGGAAGGAGTACTATTGATCCTTGATCTAATCCCAAACTATAAGGTGGACACCCTGCCAGCTCCAGATCTTGGCAGTGTAACCATATCTAACATCCTGGGGTGGATAATACCTGGGCTTTACAATAATGGAATTGATCTAGCAGACAAGGTAGAAGAATATGAGCCTTTCTACAGAGGTGTACCATCAAGGATTACTAAAACGACCCATTTCGCAACGGCTCCCACTGCTCTTTCGACATCGTCAAGGAATATTCTATTTGGAACGAGCGTCAGCTTCAATGACATATTAGAGCACCGTTTTGTGGCGCCCAGTAATGATCGAACAGTCACAATGGAGGGTTGTCCTTCCCATGTCCGTCGAATCACTATCAGGGACGACTGAATTCCAAAATGGTGGGTGTAATGTGCTTCCATAACACGCCAAGTCCCAGAACTATCCAGCAGACATACTGCGGTGGAATTAGCGTCAACCACGGAAGTCTCTGCCATACTTGTCGTCGGGCTGTGCGTACCCACGGCAAACAGCATTTGACTTGGATTATGAAAATTTTCGTCCGATGGAAGAAAACTACGATGACGGTGATAGAATATTGAGAAGCCAAGCCAGGTGGAGGGAAGGGCTGCTGATATCCACTTTTGAAATAAAGAACCAATGATGACCCCATCTAATGGTGTAAGCACAGCTTGTACGAGATTCGAGGATGCAAAAGTCAAAAACGTGTGTTCACCATGTGCTACCTTAACCACTGAGTATCAGAGATTGATTCAATATCTGTTCTACTACTGGATGGCTTTCCTGTTCAGTAATTACAGAATCATTGCTCTATACCATCACCAGTGTGACCACCCTTCATGTAAAATCCGGCAACCCATGATGATCCTTGCTACCTTCTGTTGCAGTCTGTAGATCTGCCCTCCCCACCCAGCTACGACTTTCCTTTTCGGGAAAGTAGGTTGGATGGCTTAGCTACGCGCTCATGCAACTGGTTCTGCACGGTAGATGTAATCAGACAGCTCGGGATTCTTCCCTCTGTACATAGCAACATCAGACATTTTAATAGTCACCATCAGCCTACATGCAGTTATACAACATTTCAGCAACTGAATCGCTGCCGGATTTCTACAGAAGTACAACATGGCAAACCTAGATCATTTTTACAATATGAGACGTTCAGGAGAGACAGAATACCAGTTGCGCGAATGCAATGTAAAGCTTTTACAGTATTGATTTTATCGGTCGATGAGCTATAAGCCGTTCAAGGTTCTCCATCATTCCTCGATTGAGAAATACATGCTCAGCGATGGAATGGCTTCGTCAATTGTTCGCCAAGCGTCATGGACCACATCTTAGTGGAGTATCATCTGGGCATACTTGACTCATCTTCAAATCTCAAAAAAGGTTCTCATTCGTCTAGAATAATACTATATAATACGGAATGAGCTACACTTTTATTTTTTTTTGCTCTGCCCCGCTTCCCGCGTTATTGCCCCCCTTCCGCTTATCTATTCGCGGCGGTGGAGCTTGTCCACTTTTACGAAGTTTGCTTGTTGCGTGGTACTCGGGTAAGGTTTCCACTATGGCCAGAATAGAAGGTTGTTAAGTATCAATGGGCAATTTCGAATCGACAAACGAGGGGCAGTACCTGACGGAGTACCCTTTTCATTGAAGGCTTGAACCAACGTATCCCCCATATTTAACTGAAACTTGTCACGATGTTAATAGAGACATTTTCAAACAGTAAACCATGCGGTAGTACATACTGTTTCTCCAATCACCCTTGAGAGAGAAAGCAAATCGCCGTTCTCTGTCGGCTCGTGCGCAATCCACAAGTTTCCAGCAGAATCAAACGCAATATCAAGGGCAGGTCTTCCAATGTCGAGCTTCTGGGCCAGAAGGATATTGGTGGGATTTTGGGCGTTAAACAATAACACTTCGGATCGCCTATCAGAATCTGATTTTGAGAAACTCGTTGAGATCTTATTACGTCTGGAACATATAACTCACCCTTCAAGAAGGACACCCAACATCCTTGTACTTTTGCAACTTTTGATAGCTATCACCACAGATCCCTCCTCTCCTATTGGTATCTGTTGCAGCAGTTTACCGTTCATGTAGTCCCATACACACAGGAAGGGGTCGCCTCCTCCAGAAACCAGGATTTCAGAAGCGAAAGGCAAAACATGGATCGCGGATACAAATCTGCAATGAACACTTTTAGAATGGATAACTAATAACAAGACCATATAATCACTCACTCTTTGTGTCCCAAACAGAATTGTACAATGTCGAAAGACAGTGGGTACCGTGAGACACGTATTTTCTCGTCTCGATCCGCCGTGATAATATGCTTGCCGTCCGGCGTTATTGCCTGCATGTTGGCGCCATTCTGTGAATAAAATGCGTCTCGTGCATTGGAGAAGCAAGGCAGTTCCCCTTACCATCGCAGTGAGCATTGACACATGCCCCAGCATGAGCGATTCTTTATCTGTCGCATCAGATGATTTGAAACTTTTAAGTAAAATCTTGTTAATATAATTAGATAGAAAAAAGACGCAGTATCATATCGATCACACCTGTAAACGTCCCCAAACTTGTCCCCACATAACACCCGTTCACCGTCCCTCGAAAATTCCAGGCAGTTCGCCCGTTTGATGGTCGTTCTACGTAAACACAAAAGGCCCACCATTGGGATACGTTGCCAGTTTGCAGGTTGGATTGCTTCAATCTCACCTCGAGCTAACTTTTTGATACGTTCCAATATCCCAGACGTCCAACTCTTTTGTCTCAGTTGCTACTGCCAAGTGTCGGGTTTCAGGGTGATATGCTAGGGCGCGAATGTTTCCGTTCGTAGGTTCGTTTGGAGAAAAGAGAAGTTGTCCCGTACTGTTTATAGCGTTACCGGCGTTAGCATTTGGTGAGATAGCAGCTCATAGTTCGCGTACACCAACCTTGACGAAACTATGGAAAAATATGAACCATAGACCAAAAGGATTGCATCGTTTTCGTTGGGAAGGTGTAGAAGCTTGTGAACCGGCAGACGGTGAGGCATATCGGCAGTTTGGACGGCTTGCAATGGCAATTGAAATTGAAAGATCACCAACCCTTCAAAAAGCTGCCGAGAAAGAGACCCAATGTGCATTTGAATCGCTTCGAATGTGTCGTCAACACGCATGTCATCACACCTGGCTCAAAGATCAGCAGTCGAACTGGCGCAGGTCATCACCGTATTTTTGAGCTTACGTGGGACTGAAATCCAGTGTGGTGAACTGAAGGAATTGTACCTCACCCACAGGAATAGCTTCTCGTCGTGGACTCTCAGATTCTTGGAGGGAAGCACAAGGAAGAGTTGCCTCTTTGTGGAGTTGCAGCAACCACAATGTCATATGCGCCCTCAATACACGAGCCCAAAACCCTCATTCTCTTTGTACATGGTTTCTTGGTTAGTATATCTTGTCTACCCGCGAGATTATCAGGCTCCATTGACTAACGTGCCTTGAATGCAGGGCAGCGAACATTCATTTGAGACATTTCCCTACGATGTTACCCAAACTCTCCGGACAATACACAAGTTGCGCAATGTAGAAGCACGGATATTTCCTCGCTTTGACACGAAGGGTGACCCCACGCGCGCTGTGAACCAACTGTGCAATTGGCTTCTTCTGAATGCAGCCGAACCCGAGTATGAAAGTTGTGTGATATTAGGACACTCTATGGGTGGCCTGATGGTTGTAGACGCATATCGGAAGATATATGGACTTATAGATGCAGAGGCAGGAGTACCAAAAGATGTCAAGCACGACAAGGAAGGGGAGCAAACGTCAAAATCAAATTCATGGTTCGGCGCTTTGGGATCTTGGTGGCCGCGAGGCGGTCAAAGTCAGACGGCGAACTCCAGCGCGGGCACAAAAGAAGTGAAAGGGACGGAAACTGGCGGTCTTTCTGCCGATTCGGTAATCGGAGCCGTTCCGACCGAAATGCGACACAATGAAGATTTGTCATCTGCTACGGAAGACGATCCGCATCAGCGGGCCGAACCAGCGCTAGAATCATCATCGCATGATGTGTCAGCGGATCACAGCGTCGTTAGTGATGCTTTAGCTTCCACCCCACTGCTTCCGCCACCGGACACCTCCAACCGTAAACGTCCTCCGGTCAATATTATTTCTATTATAACTTTTGATACGCCCTTTTTTGGGCTTCACTCCCGTGTCTACACAGCCGCCGCGGGATCTCGTGCTGCGAATGTCATATCTAATTATGTTCCTCCCATGCCGTCAATTCCTGCGCCTCCCATACCGATAGGATCAGCGCTTCAAGCGATACCCCAAGCTGTAGGGGCAGGAGTGCAGGCTGGAACGCAGGCTGTTGGAGCGATTCCGCAGGTGGCTTCTCAGGCCTTACGCTACAGTGCGCGAGCAGTCGGATCGATCCCAGAGGCCACTCAAGGTCTCGTTGGGGCCCTGCCAGGTGCGGTTGCGGCACTCCCAGGAGCCGCAACACAGGGACTTCACATGAGTGTGCAGGCGGTGACAGCTTTGCCTGGTGCGACATTGCAACTCGGATCGTCTGCTCTGCAGTCTGTAGCATATATCCCTTCGCTCTTCTCGTCCAAAAATACTGCCAATGACTCGGAAGCCAAAGGAGACGCCACCGTCAGCGCAGAAACTGATAATGCAGCTAACTCTCCGCAAGAAGCAGACACGTCTGGAGGTCATATGATTGTTGCCGGAACTTCGATAGAAGAAGTTAGGGTCCAATTATCCCAGTCAGACGTACAAACCCCAAAGGAACTGCAAGATGAAAGTGTTGTCTTCGCCGCCGCGGTTGCTGCTGCCACGGTGGCCGTAGAGCATGCTAAAAGCGAACCCAATTCTCCTGTATCCGAAACTCCGCCGCCTGCTGGTGCAGCCGGTGATGACCTTCTTCCTTCGCCTGCACCGGCGGAATCCTCTACCAACGCCTCGGCAAGTGCGGTCGGGCTTTTACCCCTTCCACAAGACACTGACTGGACGCCCTGGGTCCGTCTGGGGCTTGCTGGTGCAGCCATTGCCGCAGGTGCATACTATTCGGGAGGCCTTTTATACGCCGGACCGGTTGTGCGACGGGTGGCCGTTGCTTATGCCTTGTCGCATGCTGAAGAAGCGCGCCAGCATTTGCAGTTTTTGTATCCGCTGTGGGGAGAAAGTACAAAGGCGCTGTCCAAGCGGATAGAGGATATCAAGGCCGAGGTGGAAACAGGCCGTATCGGATTCAAGTGTTTTTTTGTTGAAGTAGGTGGACTGACACCGTGTTGCTTCAAACGTTTAACATCGGTTATGTTCTTACATGCACCTTGTCTAGTTGCCACTTCCTGTTACTCCCGCCCAACCTGTGCCTGTAAGCCTCAACCCAACGAAAGATGTAATGACGGATGATGCTCTTAAGAAAACGGTGGCCAACACTTCAAAGGATCAAGAAAAAACTGTAATCGCAAAATCAAGCGAGGAGCGACTAAAGAGTCGCCTGAAAGAAGTTGTTGGAGGGAGCATATCGGATGACGATGCTATGGATTTGGACGCAACATCGTCTACACCATCAGATGTAGCAGAGCAAGTAATTGAAGAAGTCGAACGCTCAAACGAGCAGCCGAAGCCACCAAAGTCATCGGTTGCCACGGCCTTGGCAGCACAATTGGCAGCCTCTCGTTCTAGTAATCAATCACCAGAACCAAGTGCATCATCAAAACCGACAGCCCCACAATCCACAACTGCCATCAATCTAGCCGCCCGATTGGCGTCATCTCGTCCCATCCCAGGTCCCCAACCTCAGTCCACCTTTATTGTCCCGCCACCCCAAACCTACTGCCACCTCTTTCGCCCTGTCAGTAGTGATTGCTCAGATGAGATTGCAGCGCATATGAATATGTTCAGTAGAGAACTAAACGCTGGCCCATATTGGGGATTGGTGGATGAAGTTTCTACTGAGATTGTCAGGGCGGTGAAGCGGGCCAATGCGAATAAGGCGAATAATAGTCAATGAAGCTATGTAAGTAGTACTCCGGATGTCAGGTGTGGAATATCGAGATATACAGCGTGGGAGGGAGAACAGGAAAATAGCATGTCGCATATTGTTGTCGGTCATTTTTCAATATGAATGTTGTTAAGGTGCTAAGGTAAGATTATCGAGATCTGATTCAAATTTGATGTTTCCAAGCCTTACTCGTTGACCCGTAGTTTATGTGACGCCCAGAAGGAAATGAGTATGTAAAAAGATGTATATGAGGGAAATAGAGCATAATATATTACACGGTGAATGCGGACGGATTCTGACACAAATACGCTTATCATTCGTCTTCATCGGATTCGCACATCAGGAGCGCATTTGTCAGAGGTCTGCTTGCTGTGACCGGAGTTGTAATCCCCGAACTTGTACCAGACGTCGTATTTCGCTGTGAAGGAACAGGCAAACTCAAATCGAACCCGATATCCCGTGGAATATGGGTTTGATTTTGTTCCTCCTCTTCAGCCAATATGCTCAATGCCTCTTCCTGTTGAACGTCGCTCCCAGCGGCAGATGATCTGCTCTCGCTGTACGTGCGCATCTGAGCACTATCCTCATTAGGCGAGTTATCATCGGACTGCCGATCCTCTTCCTTAATGTCCGCGCCTTCCTCCACAATAGCGTTATGTTGCCTGGCTCTCGCTTCAAAGATCTACAATTATACAGTAGACTTAGTACGTCATGTCCAGGATCAATCGCTCCTCCCACGTACCTCTCGTTCCTCGTCTGGTAGCTCAAACCATCGTCTCTTGGCCAGTTTTGTGATGGCTGTTACCGGTTGCCCTGGGTAGTCTTTCTTCAGTTGCGCACGCACTTCTTTGGAGAAAAGCCCATATGCAGTAACTCGGCGCCCGCCTTGCCGTTTGCGACCGTCCTTTCTTTTACTTCCTCCTTGTGTAGTGGTAGTGACTGCAGGGTCTCTTTTGGCACGCGATTGTCTATTGCTTTTGGAGGTTCCTTCAGATACGGGCTTCAATTTGGGACGTTTCGTCACCTGAGGCTGCTCTTCTGGCTCTTCTTCTGATAATTCTTCTACTCCGGATCCAAATACGTCATCGGACTCGTCTGAAAAGTCCTCAGGCCATAGTCTTCCTACCCCATCCAATGCATCGTCGGAATCCGCATCTACATCGGATTCACGAATCTCTACCAAAGGTCGCCGCTTGGCGACAGGAGGTGGTATTCGGAGGGTCAAAGGATCAGCCTGGGAAGTCAGCGGATCCGAAGAGAAAGGTGCCTCTACAATGGAAAATACGCATGGATAGGCATTGATAACCAGGGTCACGCAATCTCCATTTGCGACTTCAACAGGTTGATTTTTTGGGATAACACGTCCATTAAGTTGGGAGACGTTCGTTCCTAACTGATAGATCTGCATCAATATACCGTTACATGAATTTTCCTCACAGTCTCACTCGCACTCAGACCCACTCGTTCAACAGTGACTTTCTTGGTTTGAGCGTCTACGTGGACGTCGAGCTGTTTTCTGCTGAGTCTGAAGCCAATGACACATGAGGTTTGAGCTCTTCAATGTTCCAGCAGCGGTATGGCGAGGTTTATTTCAATTGTATTTGTGAAATGGAAACTACCAACTTGGGTTCGTTCTGCAAGCCGAGAGCTTCATTGTTTCTTCCCAAAATATTCCTGCCACTTGTGAGCTGGATGGTCTTGTTGTTTGTCAGGCACTTTACGTTGACGATCAGCAAGGACATTGGCGGCAGACGACGAGCTCATCCACTGGCAATCCCGGCACCATGTGTAGCTGTGCCACCCCTCAAGTACGCTAGTAATCTGCAATACCTGGAGGTTTACATCATCATTCTTAAGCAAGGTCTGCCATTCCAAGATGAGAAAGCAGATGGTAAGCGCAGACGCTACAGTATATTGGTAAAGAAATAAGTCTATGCTACTTTGTGTGGAGCAGAGCAATGTCAGAAAGTCATTAGGGCTCCGGACAAGGGTACATGGTAACAGCTGCGTGATATGCTGTATGCACAGCTGTATCAGCAAATAGCCTCGGGTTCTGGCTGTGAACTTGACTTGTGCAATCGCTCTTCGCCGTTGCGACCAACGTCGAGTCTCCTTCTTGTCATGGACGAGCCTGACGAGGGCCGTGGGCTCTTATGTCGTCCATATATAGTCAAATTGCAGGGGCACAGCCAAAATGGCAGTCCCATCATGATGTTGAGTGTTCCGTTCCCCATCCAATGACCACGACAATACAAGATGTTCAAGGATCGGGCACGGTTCACTGCTGCCGAGTCAACTGCAAGGTTACATTATCTACCCTCACATACACATACCCTCTACGTCTTGTTTCCCCCCGCGCTCACACGCCAAATCATGTGTCTGTTTATGTCCTAACATATGGTGGCGGTCTTGTCAGCGGTGATAGGATATCTCTAACCGTAAAGGTTGACGAAGACTGTGCCATGTCATTGCTGACACAATCTTCAACAAAAGTGTTCCGTCAGAGGCCGACGGCAAGCTCCCTTGACGAAATAGTCACACAAATTTCCCCACCGACAAATGTTGTTCAGACACTTTCGGCAAGAATCTCCCGTAACGCTCTGTTGGCCGTTCTCCCTGAGCCCGTAACATGTTTTGCAGACGCTTCCTACAACCAACGGCAAGTGTTCCGTCTAGAACAGGGCGCATCGTTGGTTTTACTAGATTGGTTCACCTCCGGACGAAAGAGTAGAGGGGAGGCTTGGCAGTTTGATCGGTACGCTTCAGTTAATGAAATATGGGTGGAAGGCGATGCGGCTCAATCATCTGCCAAACTGATATTGCGCGACGCATGGCTCTTAGACGATGAAAAGGACAGTGCATGTAATCCAAAGACGGGGGACCAACATACCTATAAGGAGCGTGTGGAACCCTACCACTGTTTTGCTAATCTGATTTTGGCGGGACATCGTGTGAGCAACCTTGTCGCAGCGGCCATGAACGCATTCGACAAAGTCTTGATTACTGCCTCCGGTTCTGGGGGATGTGCAGTGAGCTCTTCGATACAGTCTTTAATATGGTCTGCGTCCCCTTTGCCGTTGGCGGTTGGTGACATCACGGGGATAGTGATAAGGGCAGCAGCTATGGACACACCTATTATGCGAACGTTCCTTAATGAGATGCTTGTCGGACTCGATGCGGAACTGGGCGAAAATCTCTTTTCATTAATATAATGAATCAATCATGTTAAAGCAATCTGGCAAACGGCCATAACATCTGCATGACACTACGGGCGGTAGACTGATGCGACCGGAAAATCTGATACAAACGACCTACCATTCCCGCCCGCTTGCCCCGATAGGATGATATATCACTTTTCACTTTACCCTCCGACCCTCCGGAATCCACAGGTTACCTCATCGGAAGCAGTTCTGTCGCGGCGCCCGCTTATCCACTTCGTCCGCGATCTAATCTCGTGCTGATGTTAGTGGACCACTACCATCTATCCGTGTACCATTCTTTTGCCCGTCCGCAACAGGCTATTACGGTTGCCATGATCTCTACAAGCATGTCTATTTCATTTGCTTCTTAGTGCCTGGAGCATCAGCATATCACACAAGAGAAATGAGAGACGCAATTCGTATAAGGGAATAGGACATGGCGATAAAGTACTCTTTACTGATATTACTATTTCTGTGAATACATTACGACTATTGTTATGACTGCCTACCAGATCAACATCTATTATTTGGCCTTCACCCCTTTGCCCTCTTTGTGCTCTTTTGGCTCCTTGTGCTCTTTCTCTTTGTGCTCCTTTTCTTTGTGCTCTTTGTGCTTCTTTTCCTTGATAGGGTTCAAGGCAATCTGGTGTTCCGTGTATTCTCGAATCTTGTCGCCCATCATGGAATTGATCTTTAAAAGGGTCAGTCATCGGTATATGAAATTTTGACAAAAGTCAAAATCATACCTTTTCATTCTGCTCAGTTCGAGTCGCAAGAACCAAAATAATCTTCTTTTGCTCCCTGTTCTCATCCAAAACTTCCTTGACAAAAGCTTGGAGATCATCCGACAAGTATTCCAGTTCTTCTTCCATTGTACCCGGCTCCTTTGTCGCAGCCGGTGGAGGAGGTGTATCGTTTCTTTCGGGGCTGTTTGCGTTAGAGCCAAGCAATTTGCCGAGCTTTGCAGCAAGAGAGCTGTCTTGCTTGACAGCAACCATATGATCCTGCAGCATGGATCGGACCATGCCAAGTCGTGTGCCAACATGCTTGCGGAAAGCTTGCTGGGACTCTACTGAGCGGACCTGCTCGTCTTTGAGAGCATTAAATCGGGCCTGAAGTTCCGCGACTTGACTGGTGTACGTTTCTGTGTCTTGCTCTTTCGCCTTCCGAAGTTCTTCCAAGGCCGATTCTAGCCTGGTTGTTTCGGAAGCGAGTTTGTTTTCCAAATCTGCTACACTAGCGTTGTGGGCAGCTCTTTCGGCAGTGAGTTCATTGGCCTGGGTCGCGACAGTTTCTTCTAATTGAGCGATACGAGCCTTCAGTACAGCGACCTCGTCAATGATTTCTCTGGCTTGTTCCTCGGTAGGGAGATGGATTCCAATATGCTTTCCAAAAACGGTGGCCACAAACGCCAGATTCAACCTCGCGTGGCCATTGCATATATCGGCGACGGTAACGAACTTTCTGCAACCCAGTCTTTCAGCGGCCTCCAAGACCGCTTTAGCTCTCGCTTCTTTCTCCGTTGCAGGAATTTTCAATGCCGCCTCCAACTCATCCGTCGCATCCTTTCGATGCCCAGGGGCAACTTGCCTGAGTAACAAAAGGTATGCCTCCGAGTCTGTCACATCTTTGCCAAAGTTCTGAATGCGCTTGGATGCACCCGACCGGGCGAGGTGATAATTGAACCATCTCAACAGGACCTGATCATTTGTCAGTCCGATTAACGTAGTCAAGCTCTCCCCTGGTTCCAATAGGCGAATCAGCTCAGGGTGAGACGGGAGATTCACATCTGAAAGCAGATGGGCACGAATTAACTGCCAAACAACCCCAAGGACCAGATCAGGCTTCTTTCGAAGGAAGTCTTCAGCAGCAACGTTCACCACGACCGCTACATTACGTGCGGCATCAAGACAAATGTTGAGGTTATTTGTCGCTTCAAAAAGGTCTTTGGTGTGTTCTTGGGGAACATTGTCTGCCTTTGCTGGGGGAGCGAGGTGCTCCGGGTTGACGTGCGTGTTCAGCTTTTGGATGTTGACTGATTTAGCCTTAATCTCATTGATTATATGGGCAAGAAGAATGCCATCCTGGAATGCGGTAAAAAAGGTCTCTCTGGTTATGGGGATATACTATAACAGATATCTCCCAGAGTTAGCAATGCACCATTCCATATACGATAAGCCACTGATTCTTTGCTATAAAGCCCACCTTTGGCTTAAGGGCGGGAACATCTGCAAACAGGTTCCTAATATGCTCGGCATAGGCTTCAATCTCTCGTTCCATGCTTTCTTTCGAGTCTACGACGGGCGCTAACGAAACATCCTGGTATTGAGGTGCCATGTTGAATGATAATTTGTTAGATGAACTCGGGCACTCTTGGTTGCGGTATCAGAATGGCTGCAGTCTAACGAGGTTTCCCTCTGTCAGCCATGATGGTTTCTTATACCAACAGGCGCGTTTGAGGGTTCTGGAAGGCATTGTCAGAAGCAAGTGTGGACAGGATTAGATTCTGGAAAAGAGGGCGTGAATGGGTCCTCTGCACCTTAAAATAGAAAATCACCCATCGAATATTATTTCACCATGCTCGGTGCAGAGAAAAGGGAAAAAGATAGCAATGACAAACTCAAGATGGCTTGCATAGCAGTCTAGTTATGTGTAGTGAATTTGACTGTCTTCAACAGAAGGTTAGGCTCGTTTTTGGATCCTGATCTGGAACTTTATTACAGGATTTGCAATCGTACACCTGCCATACGAGATACCATAATCTTCTCTGGGCAATTTTCACTACTTATAATTGGTCTACGGGGTGCGATCTAAGACCATAATCTACCGTCATTGGAGGCAGCAAGGACAACAGCATTTATTTCCGTCAGGGAATATGGATGTGTAGATTCAGAGGTTTGGTTGGATGATCTTGCATATTTGGCATTTACATCTTAGAAACGGGTACGTTCCGCTCAATGTTCGTCGCAACAATGGTGGGCCGTACTGGGAAGGCTTGGCTGTGACCAGTATAGCCAAACCTGCCCTCCCAGCCCATCATTCGGGCCAGACTCTTAACCTTCACAACATGAAGGTGCCATGAGAGCTACAATCCCTATTAAGATTTACACGGCGAGGCTAGTAAGTCAAGCTCTCGATTTCATTTGAGCCATCGATTAGAAGCTTATGAACAAATGGAAAATTTGAGAGTACCTTACCAGGAAGGTTTCGCTCCAAGTTCAAACGCATATCGGAAGGTTCCTTCCCGTCGCTGCGCGACAGCTGCACCTCGTAAAGTATCCATAAACCGCCACTGTGCCGTCGCGGCAGAGCCTAGCTCATTCAGTAGGGGATCTCCTCTCCTGCCACTAGGCCTCCGACTTGGATATATAATATATGCTTCATTTCAATCATCTGTAGCGCATCCGCTCGGTTGCGGAAGCGTTGCCCAAAGTTTTATACTATGTGAACCTTGCGGATGCGATCTTGCTGGTGTCGATAGTGCGGAGCCGGTGGGTATTGGCACTAGCACCCGCACCATGGATTGAACCGGCGACAACCAGTTCGGAAAAGCTAATCTAACTAATCTACGCTACGCTACCGCTGGAACACTCCTGCTGCTCCTGCTGAACACCTCTGGTCTACCGTGTCCATCCAACATTGATTGCACGATCGTTAGCATATTACAGGTTGCCAGCGTATCTCGGTTCCAGTAGCGCATTCTCAACGTCCAGTCTTGCTGCAAACAGTTAGGGTTGGTACAACCCAGCAATCCATGGACTTTTTCAACCTTGCCTCGCTGCCAAGGTCTTGAATGAGGTCGTTCTTTGAAGCCTTTCTCGACAAACTCAGAGGATGAACAGCGAGGGCAAACAGATGAGGTCTTGTACTCATCGAGAAGGAAGCAGTTTATCCTGTTCCGCTTAAAGAGGGTGCGCCAGCCTTTTGTCTTTGATGAGGTCTGAAATTTTGCAGTTCGACCAGCATCGCTCCAATCACCCATCACAACAGTAAAGTTTTCACCGTACTTGTTGCGCATGTTACTTATGAGGTCTGATTCGCTCTTCTGACGGTTTATGAAGGAGTGCCATTTCCATCGAGTATGAGCAGGATGCGAATAGAATTCCTTGCGACGATCCCAATCAGCGCGGCGAACGAGAAGGTAGCGAGTGAAGTCCATGAGGTTCATTGTTTTGTGGGATGGTATTCGTGATTCTATGAGATCAACTCCAGCTTCTTCCTTCATTGCTTCTCGTCTCTTTGCAAATCACTGGCTTCCAGTCTCCACGGCTCGCTGGTTGGCGGTGTAGCGAAATGTCGTACCATTGCTGTCTTGGCAGTAGAGAATGTCGCGCTTGTTTGGGTCGATAACGATGACATTCTCTGCTGCTCGACAAGCAGGTAAGTTGACTACAAAGTGAGGCACTGTGGGACAATTTCATCAAAAATATTCCCAGGGAAAAAGTGCCACAGGATAAAACCAATGGTAAAAATTGGAAGCTTATGGAAAGTAAAAAATTATGTAGAGACATGTAGGGATGAGAAATGTCCCCATTTTCCTAGCAAGATTGCAAAAAGAATAGAAATATCCACATGTTTAAATGGCAACATTGGTTTCCTTGTTTACACAAAATTCCACAGAAGATGTAGGCAACTCAGGCATCAGAACTCATCCCATCTCAACATTACCTTCGAGGCATACCAGCCGGGATTGGCCGCTCCGCGCCCGGCATGCCTGCCGGGGTCCTCATGTCCATTCTTCAAATGGACTACATCTGCACCGGCATCTTCCGCCGCGGAATTTCTATGTGTGAAAATGTACCCTTCGGACGAACTTTTAACTTTTTCTGTTGCAATCTTGTTTTAGTAGGTCGTGTTTGTACAGGCTCCAACTGACGAATTTCTTTGCGAACTTCTTTTTGTGTTCTAGTCAATTTTACTGGTCGATGACCTGGTTTCTCGGTAATCGGTGCATTGGTTTTCTGTAATTCATAGTATTTGAAATGCTGGTCTATTTCTTTACCATTGGCATATGCTACTACGAATCGATAGCCATCGACATTGACTATATGGTATACTTCATCAGACCATTTTGCCTCATATCCTTTTTTGAAAATATCCCGTTTGAGTAATATTCTTACATGGTCACCAATGTCAAACTTCTTGAAATCACTTACAGCCTTGCTATTATCGCGTATATAATCACCATCAGCAACATCGACAGGTGCCTTTTTCAATAGACTGTGATATGAAGTATTGTAGTTCATAACAAGGTCAGGAAGAGCATCTATGTAGCGCTTAGTTTTAAATACGGTCATGTATCTGGAGATAACACTTTTCAGTGTGCGATTAAACCTTTCGACCAGACCCATATGGTTATGGTCAGCAACTTCAGCCATGTAATGGTTTATACCATACTTATTGAGCAATTGCTCAAAAACAATGTTGTTGTACTCTGAACCCCTATCAGTCGTGATATTTTTAGGACGCCGCCTAGCGAGTAACTTTGTAAAACAATCAGCAATCTTTTCTCTGGTTTTATTCTTGAGAGGAAAAACAAAGGCATAACAAGAGTACACGTCTACAATACATAACAGATAACGGTAACCGTTGTTGTAGGTAGCATATTTCTGCATGTCACACAAATCCGATTGCCATATGTGATCAACACCATTGGCTGTTATATGCATGTAGTTAGGCTTGACAAGAGGTTTGTGTACTTGTTGCACATGCTGACTGTCGATGAATGTCTTTATATCCTTTCTGGAAATACCCTGATCCTTGAGTCTCTGGTAGAGCTTTTCTATGCTCTGAAGTCCAGTCTTGGGATCATAGTAAACTTTCGTGATTAGTTCGGTTTTTGTCCCCATTTTAAAAACCGAAAGGAAGTGTCTCTATGACCTTAGACTCAGAGTTAAATTCTTGAACCACACGTTTGTCGTAGACAAACTTGTACTTTTTGCTGGGTGAGTTATTTTTTTCTGGTATGATGATCTTTGTCTTGTTACGCACACTGTGTGTTTTACTAATGTTGATTTCGCTAAAGTTAAAATTAACACAACTCTCTTTCTCAATCCCTTCATCATCAATGTACCTAGGGTTAAATACTATATCCTTCATAGACTCATGTCCAAGATTGAGTCCATTTTCATATGAAAGTGCGAAGCCTTTACAGACCGTCTTTGCTCTCCCCGTTTTGTTGAGAATGTAAGAGTAATTCTTAGCGCCACCTGAAACAAATTCTACAATATGGTCGCCTTTCAATTCATCTGTCAGGTCTCCAAGATAATCACCATAGGGCAAAGTCTTTTCAGTTGATCCTATATCATCATCAACATATATAATAGAATCAGTATCATAGTACAACACCTTTTCCCCTACAGTATCCAGAACACTGTAAAGTTTACAACGAGCCAAAGCGGTAGTGTATGCAGCAATGAAAATACTAGTATTCTTGTCATCACGAACAGCAGCCTTATGCAAGGAGTATGACAGATCCAAAGTGCGACCATTATCATAATCAACAATGTCGTGTACAATATATTTATCATTGAACATGATGGAGTAGTATTCATCAGGATTTTCCTCAGCATTGATTGTGATATGCTTACGCATGTTGTTCTTTTGACCGAATTTACCCCACAATGAATTGAGCATCAACTTAGCCACGAGACGTAATCCTTCATTGTAGACAATTTTGGCTGGATCAAGATGAATACCTTGCTTGCTTTCGTAGTCGTCAATATACTTTTTTCTGTCGTCATCATTTTTACACCATTTAGGGTACCCTGATGCTTCCTGCTTGATTTTGAGAAATGTGAAGATGTAATCTTTGAAAAGATCAGATCCCGTATTTTCGAAATGAAGAACCTCATAAACTTGAGAAATGACATAGCCCTTTGAAAGCGCTAACTTCACTTCCGGAATGCACCAAGTCCCAACAAAAGCCCTCTGTTCAACAGAGTGGCGACAAACAGAGATTCCTTTTTCAGCACAATTATTACAAAGAACAAACATGGTCTTGTTGTTAATCTTAGCAGGAAGTACAGGGTGATATAACCCACGAGGGGGTACTATTCGACACTTGATGAAACCATTGTAGTTCAGTTGGCCATCAAAGTTGTTAAGAATCCTTGTGGGGAACGAGTAGCAGGGGTACTCTCCAAAAGCGTTTACCCAAGGATACAGTGATGTAAAATCGCAGTATTTCACTCTTTCCTTCTCAGAACATTTGTAGTAAAGTTTGCTGGCATTTGTTCTACCACCAAAAAATGCGTTACGAGGATCTAGAGGTCGGATATATTCAATGTCGAGGTCTTTACTCATAACATAATCACATATCTTCTTGTTTGAGTCATATTCACACTCTGAGATCGAGACATAATTGTAACCTAGAGCAATCAATTTTTCATGCTTATTATCAGTATATTGTCTCAAAGACTTATAAGGGACACCACGATAATTAACGGCATCATCGTCTTTGCATTGTTTACACCCATGGAATTCACAACCATTAAATTCATACACAGTATTTGTCGAAGGAGAATAGCCATCAGCATAGAATTTTTTCCCATTTAATCAGTCAATCCATTTCTCTCCACCATGTAGAACATGTCGCATATCTGGAACGCCATTATCGCATAGATATTCGAGCCACTGGACAGCCTTGTCTGAATGACGCCACATTCCTTCTTCATGATGTGTGGGTATGCTTTCTTCAGGCATGAACATATGCCTGTAAGTCCCCATACATGCCGATGCTATGGTTTTATAAGCCCAAGGATCAATTTCACCATCGGTTGCTACAAGGAATTGCTCTCGGAACAATTTCACGGCCGCTGCTAGAATATCGACATCATTCTTGCAGTATTCAACAAGTTCCTTAGTGTAATCAAAAACATACCTACCCTTCATGCATTCGCGTAGGGTTTTCTTGTACCAGCGTCGTGCATCAGCGCGTTTATCATAGGGCATACTGTCGAATCGGAAATCATCCAAAGACGGTAAAACGCCTTTATAATCATTTGAACATTTGAACCAATGTGGAAAGTAACCCTTACGAACATGTTCCTCTAATCCAAACATGGAAGGCAACTTTGACAGTCCCATAGGCAAAAACGACATGCTATCAATGAACCGGATGTTGAACTTGGGCAGCACCATTGAAATGATCTTCAACCCATTTGAGATATACTTAGGCTTAACACCGTTGTCATTGAACTTTTTGAAGAGAAAGTGGAAATCGTAACCCTGACCATTGTGAGCAATGAATGTTGTATTAGGGTTCTTGAAGATGAATTGATAAAAAGCATCAAATTCAAAGAAGGAGTGATGCTCATGACATTGGCACACAGATTGGCATAGACCGGTACAAACTACCTTGCAATCCGTAAACTTTACATGATGTTCACCATCATGTAGAAACTCTGATTCAAAATCAAATGCTATGATCTTGCTAATGTGCTTTCTGGGTTTCTTTTTCTGTATGAAGCATCGATGGTCAGGAGTGACGTAAGCCTTGCAAGGACGGCAGAGATGGTGGTTGCAATTGTGTAACTCAGCACAATTACCGTCATAATAAGCACACTCAAATACACGCCCGCAGCCGCCTTCCTTGTTACATTTCCATATTTTATCGCATTTTTTCTCCTTGTGATAATCATCACAATCTCCTGAAAAGTGACCTAAGTTACAACTTAAACACAACACTAGATCATCGGGAGATCCTTGTTTACATGTGACCCGACCACAAAGGTTGCATCCTCGTTTCTTATCACATTTATGATTGGTATGCTTGTGTCCTTTCATGCATTGGAAACAAAAATACGATGCACAGTAAAAGGCGTTAATCTTGGTTATGCAATCGAAATGATCCCCTTTACATAGGATAGTAGCAGGTTTCTCATTGTATCGCTCATTGTTAACACCTTTGACCATAAGAGGCTTACCACCATTCTCTAGATCAACAATAATGATGTTCCTTTTGAGGAATGAAACCAACTTTGGAAAATCGCCGTAAGACATCTTCTGACCAACAGGTAACCCGCATCCTTCATAATAGTTAGTAACAATTTTGTCCAGTGGCTTTCTTTGTTTCATGATGTACGCATATTCATTTGTTGAGTGATCCATCGTATGGAATGCTACGGATAAGGCAACTGCTCTCATACCACAATCGTTACCATTGTTTTTCACAACAATGACACAACTTTTTGACTGTGCTGATAGATGGTCATGATAGTTTTTGAAGGCGCCGCCCTTTACCGAAACTAAACGACGCACCTCGATAGTCATGCTTTCATCGATTGATGCTATTTCAGCCGATTGCATTCTCGCAGTAATTTCGTCTATCACATCAGAAGCAATCAGATCACTAACTGATACAACTTTTGATGACCAAAATCCATTGTGTAGACTTTGATGTTGAAACCCTATTTGCACTTTGTCACCGCATTCAAGGCCTACAAGTGATTCCTTGATGACATCATTGAAAAATGAAACAATATCATCATGAGTAGCGAAGGTGTACTTTGGATTGAACCGATAAAGTTCCTTTGTATAACCGATACCTTTGATTTTGATCTCTTTGACAGATATTAAAGGTGAGAATGATTCTTGACGCTTTCGAAGATTATACTTACGTTTAGCCCTAGTGGCAGCAGCCTTCTTAGCGGCTTCCTTTCGCTTTTTAATAGCAGCCTGAGCCCTCTCTTGAATTTCTCTCATCTCGCGCTCTTCCGCTTCTTTATTAAGCCTTCTTGTCTCTCTGGCCTTTTCAGCAATAGCCTGCTTTTGAGCCTCAGTGCGTCTCGCAGCAGCAATTCTTTTTTCTCGCTCAGATTGTAGGAATCTTGGTACTCGATGTATTTGAAGGTTCTCTAGTGCTTCTCGTCGTTTCTTAGTCCAGTTCTTACATGAGAAGTTTCCAGAGACGATCTTCCGCATCATCTTCTCGAAAGGCTTCGAGTCTTCTTTTACGTTTCTGTTTGCGATTGGGTCAAAAATCAAAGGCATAGTAAATAGAAATATATAGTGTTAAAAAATAAATATTTTCAAAGCTTTAAATGTGTTTGTTCTTCGAATGATGTTCATGCGAAGTGAGCAACTTTTACTGGATCATCAGGAATAGCCACTTTTCGATTTATTTTAAAGTATCTCATCTTAGGAGGAGGTGGTGGTGGTTTTCGTATACATGGTAACTTTTCTATAGCATACATCTTTGAAATAGGCGATTCTGCTAACCCATGTATTATATTATGAATGTATGAGCGCGAGACACCTAACCTGTTAGCAATCTCTATGGCTGCCTGATAGTCATTTACAAATGTTCTAGAACCATCTTCTTCGATCTTGTATACCCTGTAGCGATCCTTCGTGTTTATCGATCCTGATTTGCGTCCCATGTTAAAATATATTGTGTATACAAAATATTATTTATCTTTGTTTAAACGTGTGTGTTTATTAGCAAACGTTGTACAAAAGCTCTATAACAACGCCCCTACATGATACTAAACAAAGGGATATCTATGTACATTGTGCTACAAAACACCTTTACAGACTGTTTTTGTCGTTTTGTATTTTTTTTTTCTGGTTTTGTTGTTTCCATGTCCGTTCTTCGAATGGACGACATACTTTTTTTGTTGATTTCATGGATTTTTTAGCGAGTGTCAACGGTAATTGAAGAGAATCAAGCAGCGGCGCTACTGCTTCCTACATCTGGAGGATTGATAACATCAGCATGGACAATGTCCTGATCGCTCACTTTAGCCTTGACGCTCTTTCTGCGCTTAGGGATGCTAGCTGCTATGAGTGCGTTAATCTGCATCTGCTGCTGCTCGATACGCTCCATGAGCATTTGCTCTAAATTAGCGGATTCCCCATCACGCTCAGGCTCAGGAAAGCCTGCCGGGATGCCTGCCGGGATGCCTGCCGGCATGCCTTCCGGCATGCCTTCTGGCATATGGCTCTGCGCCGGGATATGGCTCTGCGCCGGGATATGGGTCTGCACCGGGCTTGACCGCTCCGCGCCTGGCATACTCTCTTTCTCGACACGTCTGCGTTTAGCCTTTTGTGGACTGTAATCGCTGTCATCGGCATCATCGGAATCGTCAGCATCAGATGAAGAACCAGAACTCAAGGTTTCACCATCGGACTCTTCGAACTCTTCAAACTTCCTCTTTAACTTGAGAGATGAAGATTTCCGTTGAGTCTCTTCTCGCTTCTTCCACTTTAGGAGTCGTCTCAGATGACCTTTAAGTGATTCTAGCAACTCCTTGTCATCCTTATATATCTTCTGATTATCAGCCATATTTTCTAATAAACACTCGCTTTGCTCGAAGGTGAGATCCTCTAGACCCATCTTGAGAGCACGACACGCTATGGGATGTAGCAAGCCTCCTACAAAGTGTGTCACTTGCCCCCATTGACTCTTTGCAATGGACATGTTTCTAATTCGGTTAGGTGTTTCAGAAAATGTAGCTATGTTTCAGATTCGGTTAGATGTTTCAGATTTATGGCACGTGTTTCAGAACACGTATCTGATGTTTCAGATTCGGTTAAATGTTTCGAATCATACCTGATGTTTCAAACCCATACTCGTGCTAATGGGAGAAAAGATACACCGAGTGCCTTTTTATGCCACCGGCTTGTACTCAGGGACGCCCTTCCGTTCAATGGAAAGAATCTTGGCATCCCTGCAGGGATTGGCCGCCCCGCGCCCGGCATAGTCTTGGCATTTCTTGGCGCCGTTTTTTAAACATAAACAACACGCCTCATGACTCTTCCAGAACCGTAGCGTCGCTTACGTGTTGCTGCGGCTTTTCTAGCAGCGATGATGCGCCTGTTTCTTGCACGAGCAGCCACTCTAAGTCCTTTATTCGGCATGGCCGATACGTTGACGAGTTTTCGATGTGTTTTTGTCATATTCTTCTTGAGGCTTACCTAACCAAAGCTTAGAAAAAATCATCGTGGTTCCTGTTGTTGAACTATGCTGGTAACAAGCGAACACCATCACGGTCGATGTGCATCTCATGGTCTGTTGTCCAGAAGACATGGAATGTCTTGTCCTTGAACGTAGGGATATAATCGGGGTTAGGCGTATCACCCTCTAGTTTTTCGCTTGGGAAATCGGCTACTTCCGGAGGGTTGGGATATTGACTCACATTGATGAGAATATGCCCATCGGCTAGAGTATTCAAACCACCGCCGATCATATCTGGACTTTGCTTGAAATTTTGCCTCCATGACCAATGCTGTATCTTTTTGCCTGCTAGTGCCCATCCTTCCAAATCGGACATAGTGGGGGCAAATCGCACATCATTGAAATCTTTATTACGTTGGCTTAATGCATACATTTCAGGATCTACAGTAGGTATAATATTAGTACCAGCACAAGCGGAACCGTTGGCAATCGCTTTTCCCTCAGGGAACCGCTGCATACCCACCTGGATACTAACTGTTCTAATCCCAGCATCTTCACTGAAATTCAATTTGTCTACATCAGTTCGAACATTGTCAGTTGTCACCAACATCAATGATGAAACAGAGGACTGCTCACCAGTCACAAGTGACAATTGCTGTACGCGACTGGCTTGCCCAGCAAACTCCTGACTCCACACAACTTGCATGGGGATGGTCAAGTATTCGTTGCTCTCCATTAGGCTAAGGATCTTGTTGTAGTATTCGGGTATGGGCTCGGCGAACTGGCAAATGAGTTCGTTCTGGACAATCTTGAATGAATCTATTCCTGTGGATGTGGGGAAAATTTTGGCAAGTTCACTCTCTGCAGTCATCTCGACCTGGACACCACCTTTGACAAGACAGAGAGGGAAAGCCACTTCATTTTGAAAGAATGACAGTGATGAGCCAGTGACAGTGTATGCCCTGTTTTTAGCAACCACTGCTGAATGGTCGTTAGCCGCATCACTCGAATAATATTCACATTGCCCAAGATGTTGTTTGGTTTCCCACAATGTTAGAGCGTTTTCATGTGCGGTGAACAAATTATAATCATTGAGATCTTCGATGATCCTTCCATTAATAAGAACACTTTGGCGTTTCCATACAGCATCCGTTCCTGATTGACATAGCCTGTGGGTTGCAGTGGCAGAAACGATTTCCTGTCTATTTGCATCAAGCCCTACGACACGATATTTATGTAAGGTTTCATTCACAAGCCAAAAACGCTTGTCATCGGCTATTTTAAAAGTGATTTTGCTGCCAAAGTTACAGTCACCCAATCCGTTGGTAGGCTCGAAGCGAACCTGACTAGATGGCTGAAAATTCAGCACAACCCCGTTCTTGGCATTGCGCTTATACGTAAAGACGTTTGGGACTTGTCGAACCTCAGTTACCTGAATTCCTGAAGACATTGTGGTTTAACTTACACATCTAGAAAAAAAAAACGTCACTTTTTAAGAAAAAGTGACATCAAAAATTGTGCCTTTCGGAAAGGAGTTTGCTGTCCTAAATAGCCTGAACTCAGTCGGTGTAGCTTAACAAGTTACAATGGTTGTCAAAGCGAGGGGGTCAAAGGGGGACAGCCTGTCCCCCTACGAAAAACCAACTCTAAACGGTCTTTTCGAACTTTGTAGATTTATGTGCACAAAATGAAACAGTTTCTTTGTATTATCCATAACGAACTTTTCAAATACATCTTCAGGTAAAGCGAGAGATAAGCCTGCTTCGACCATTTTCTTAAGTTCGCTTTTCAAAGGTCTAAAAATGATCCAGTTCGTCGCATTGCTACGGACAGCGGGACTATTGTGATAAAAATATTGACTCGACAGGATGCAGGTGATTCCAGCGTGTCTACCCCGTGTAGCCAACTCATCGAGTGACTTCTTATGTCCTTTCTGCATATTGTAGTCATCTATGATAAGAAGTAAATCTCATTTTCTTCCGCTTCGAACAAATTCATAAAGTTGCTCTTCGTGTATAAAATTGAGTATTTCATTGGAAATCTTGTCAAATATATGAACCTTTTTGCTCGTTCTTAAAGGGTTCCAATTGGTATCGTGTGGATTTGGTGTGAAAATTATGATATTCGAATACTGCTTCTTCAAGAACAATTTGCATATCACTGCAATGTTTAGCGTCTTCCCACAAAATCGAGCACCATTGTATACAATAAAACCATACTTTCTAGGAAGCCGTGGATCTGTATTATCCTTTATGCGTCCAGAGACTTGACTTGGTAAGGGTGATATTGTAATAGCCTTCATTGCGCTTGTTTTTTATTTGCTCTCTGTATCTATAATACATTAGAAGAAATGAAAAAGTTGATTCTCGATAGCAACAGGGCGACGAACGGAAACAGGAATGAACCTAAATGGACTCTAGCCGAACCCATCGCATGTGATAAAATTCGATACAATTCGATCATTTTGCCCCTTTCGTGGGACATAGTAAACGAAAAGAACAATATTGTCTCCTTTTATGATGCTGGGATGGGTAATGCTGCAAGGACTTTTGCTATTCCTCCTGGGACATATAGCCCTGATGATTTGGTCGATGCACTGACTGCTGGATTCAACTCGACTGGGACGCAAGCATACACTGTAGAATACAATCATATAAACAGTCAAATCACAGTGACCGCGGGTACAACACCATTCAAAGTTCTCTACCCTCAAACCACAGCAAGCAAACTGCTCGGATTGCAGCAAACTCAGCAATCTGACCCTGGGACATCAATTACCTTCTCAAATCCCATCGATCTGACAGGCGTTAAGATGGTGCTCGTAGCCTCATCTAACATAAGGTCAAATGATGTCATTTATGCAGGCACAGATGATTTAAATATCATTGCCTCTATTCCGGTGTCGCAAGAAATTGAAACTGTCCTATGTGCGCAGAATTATTTTGACACCGACTTCATTGACACGGAGTCTGGCCTTGTTAGTACGATCGACATCCATTTGCTTGATGCTGAAACATTGCTACCCTTGGATCTACAGGGCAAAGGGTTCACTTTAGTTCTCGATTGTCATTCCTCTGGCTTTGCAGATGATTAATTTTTTTTTTTTTTTTCATTTGGAACATGTAAAAGATGTTGCGTCAAAAATTCGCAAACTTTCTCTCAAGTGCAAAAAACTTTGGTCTTAGAGTGCTGAACAGTTATAACAAAGTTAACAACGGTATTAGACAATTTGTTGCCCATGCTGGACAAGCCAAAGATATCTATGGGAAAGTTCATCAATCTCTTGTCCATGACGAATCTGTACCCGTCAAAGTAAGAGAGACAATTTCACGAGGACGAGGCTATATCGATGATCTCCATAAAGGTCTAGGGCGGGGCTATGAGATTCAACAAAATTTTGATTCAGCCTTAAGGAAATCGCTTCCTGTTGAATTAGCGGGGTATTAATGCTACTTTTAGAAAAAGTAGCGTCAAATGATTTCATTCAAGTCATCACTGTAAAGAGGATTTTCATGAATAATAACATATTCGTTCCAGTTAATACCCCCCGCATCAGCATCTGGGATGATGGTTTCCTTACTGTATGCCAATGCCGGCTCAGGCATGCGAGGTTCCTCCAGTTCTCTTATAATTCGAGAAAGAACTGTTTCCATTTCTTGCCCTTCATTCCTTTCAGCCAACTTCTTCCTCAAATGCTCTTGTATCCGTTCCTTCCTTTGCTGAGACGACATTCTTCTTTTTTTTAATAATACTATATAGTAAAATACAGAATAGAACGGTATGTCTGTTGCTGAATTAGTAAAACTATTACAGCAAGGTAACACTGATGTAACTGCTTACAACTCTGAGCAGGTTGAACATGATGTGTTCTGGAAAGAAAAAAGAAAATGGGTTGACTCAAAGTTACCTACAGGCTATTTCAAGCACCCGCTGTTAAACAAGTATCGTTCATTTGGTAAGGTTGATACACAATTCGTCAGTGACCCATACTATATTGAAATTGATAATAGACGTTTTGGTGAACTGAGAGATGAAAATGGACGCTCTTTGAATCCTGATACATTTTGTCCCGTTGTGTCTGATGCAGAACTCAAACAGATGCAGGAGGGTCGTACCCGGATGAATGCTCCGAGTGCTAATCAAGAAACTAGGTATCCGATAAACCACGGTAGTGAAGGATACAAAAATGACATAGATTTGATTGCATGCATCCGACGAATGCGCGAAGGTTATGAAGAGTTTATAAAAGAGGAAAAATGTAAGGAATTGGCTGACATACAGCGTTTCCGCTCTTCACATGGTATTCACAATCCTGGGGAGAGTTTGCTAGAAACAACTGGCTTGGGCACTAGGGGTACTGATATTTCTGCCTCAAGAGATGAATACAACATGCAACGTGGTGTGATACGACCTACTCCTGCGTTGTCTGAGAACATCTTTTATGAGGAAGGAGGCACGCCGCCTACACAATGGGTTCTACATAGGTGATCTGATTCACCAACCTCAGGCTTACCATCACTAGCGCCGATGGATGACTCACCATCTCCGTCTCCATCTACATTTGACTTCACAACAATGCAGCCATCGCCAAGGCTTCATGAGAGAAGAAACCCGAGAGATTCATCCTTGCAGGAAGTTTACAATCCAAGAACCGGTAATTGGATTAGAAAAAATGGTAAGGTACACAAGGAACTTAAGAAAGAGTGGGCAAGTAATTCTTATAAGATACCATCATCATGGACAAAAGAACCTCGCTAAGCGTATTTGGGTTTTTTTATTTTCTATTTACAAGCTAAAATGCCTAAAAAAAAGGAATCTATGCTGGCGCAGAGCCAAATGCCGGCAGGCATGCCTGACATTACAGATGAAGAACAAAGTTTGAATGATGATGATGAAACTAATGACAATGATCATCAAGACTATGTTCAAGAACTTGTAAACAAATATGCCGGGCACGGAGCGGCCAATCCCAGAGAGGTCAATGCCAGCGCTCCCAAAAAATGAACTGCATCAGAGAAGCAGCGAGCACATTTAGAAAAATCCCGAGAAAAGGCTCTTCAGGTTAGACGAGAACTCGCTGCCAAGAGAAAAGAAGAGAGAGAACTAGAAAAGAAGAGAAAAGAGGAGGAGAGGATTCTTGCTAAGGCCGAGGCTCTTAGGGTGGAACAGGAAAAACGTGTCGAGGCTAGGCTCCGCGCTGAGGAGGACTTACAAAATACTTCATATAGTCACAAGACTAAAAAAAGAATTAAAACGCTGATACCGAAAAAAAGACGGAAGATTGTAGTTGAGGAATCGTCAGACAAAGAAGAAGATGATTCTTCAGATGATTATGAGGAAGTTGTCAAAGTCATCAAAAAAAAGAGAAATCGCCCCGTTCACCACACTCGAACAACCCGGTATGCAATAGATACCTGTCGCGCGGAGCCTGTAACGCATCCCGGCAGGGATATCATGCGTACCAAACCACCATCGATCTTTGATGACATTGTATAGACCAAATGTCGGCATGCAATTCATTTTCTAAGCTATGATGATATAAAGGAATAAGAAGATGCCTTTGCCTAATAGCATTCAAGGCACATATATGGTTTGAAGAAATTTAGAAGTCCTAGATAATTTCAAGTCCGGAAAAGTTAAAGCCAATTCTATCTATGGAGAGAGCCTACGGAATAAAGATGGTATAGTCACTATACTCGATTTGGATAGTCAAACGCCTAGTCTCTCCATTCAGAAAAATAAAGGTAAATATACCATCTCTCTTGCCGAGACAACTTATGTTTTTCCATTAATTGATGATGAACATGATGTCAGGCTTGTAACAGACGATACTCTGCTTATAACAGAAGACGGCTTATCTGTTAAACCAGAGACACTCCTGCAACCTCTCTATAGGGCTCCCGACTCACGAACAGTAAGCCTAAACATTGATGATGATGAACTAAAAGTTGAGGATGAAAAATTAACAGTCATTCCTTATAACTATGATTTTCCACTCTACAGGGATGCCGAATCACGTACGGTTGGTTTACAAGCAGATGATACTTTGCTTATAACTGAAAATGGTCTATCGGTTAATTTTCCTGATCCTGAGACGCTGAAAAAGCCGTTGTATCGTGACCAGAGCGGCCTTGGAATCAAACTTCATAAAAGTCTAAAGGTGAACAATAATGACGAATTGGAAACTAACATTCAGTCGGTACTAAAAGCATTTGGCGCTCTGAAATCGAGTTCAGGTGCGGATACGTTGTTAGACATCGGGTCTTCATGGCTCAACTTTGGATTCGATAGTTTGACCGAAATGACTGATGTGTTAGGAGAAGTAGACACCACAGCCATTCGCCTAATGGTAGATAGTTCCACATTCAGTCAAGCGGGTTCGAGATTGTCCCTGAAATCACCCGGATATGAACAAATCATGTATGGGAACCTTACCTATGGCTACTTGGGAAGTTCTTCATTCACTTATTCGTCCACGCTTCAGGAGTTGAGAGTACCAAATGTCAAATTAACAGGAGTATTTCCTGCTATTGGAGGTGGGTCGTATGCAGTGAGTAAAGACTATCTTTCCCAATTTTATCAAGGCTCTCAAACAGGAGCAATAGCAGTGGGACCCGAGTTTAACGGACGACGCGAGATTGGCTGTTTGGTCGATAATCAGACCATCAGAATTGTTGGAAATGCACTCACAGGTGGGTACATTTTCCAGGAATTTAACGGAGTCACCATCCGGCCTGGGACTACCAATGATGTGATGCTCTCTCTCAAATGTGAGGCTGGCAGTTGTCTCCAAATGGTCAAAGCAGATACCATTAAAGACGTACTTACTTGCAGCAATGGTATCGAGAGAGTACAGAATGACCTTCAACTCGATCTAAAAGTTGATGCTAATTCAGGTTTGGCTATGGTCAACAGGGGAACCATACGGGATACCTTTACAGCCTCCCAAGGGGTAAGCAGGATTGGCAATGAGTTCAGGTTATCTCTTACTGCACAGTCACCCGATTTAACCCTCAATAATGGGGTTCTCAGTTCGAACATCGCTGCGGGAATTGGACTCCAGAAGAATGGTGCTGTTTTGTCTACTAATCTCCGAGGTATTAATGGAGTGCAAGTGTCCGGTGATTTGATTTCATGTTCTCTTACAGGAAGCGATACAGTTCTTCGTGTTGGGGATGTTCTGAAGGGCAATTATGTCGGTTCGACCAATTCATACGGAAGTGTGGTCGTTGTTGGTAATACCATTCAGTATAACATGATTCCGCCACAATTCGTAAGTAACAGTCCAAACTTGATTATCACAGGAAGTTACCCTCTCTACAACTTTACACTCATTGACCCTACGCTGTTATTGAAACAAAGGGATACCGATAATACTGAACAGACTGATACTGCAGAAGTGTTAAAAATGGATGTTCCATCAGGCAACACTGTTATTTTGTCCGGATCAACTCCATTATCAACCGTACCTTTTCCAGCGATGGTCTCCCCGACCTTGACAGTCCCTATGGCTGTAAACTCCATCCTCCCAATCGTCTCAACGTTCCCTTGGGGAATGATTTTCGGAGGGTCATGCAAACGTAAGGTTCAACGAGATGCGGAAGGCCAACCTATACTCGATGGCGATGGAAACCCCGTTTATGAACCAATAGACCCTGTTACCTTCATGCCACCACTTGAACCCGGGAGCAATGTCACAATTGCTTCTGATCCAATAGGAGGTTGTACTCGTCTCTTGTTTGATATGCCTTCATGTTATCGAGGCATCAAATACGAATACCCTCAGCAAGCGATCAATCTCTCAATGTTAAGAGATTACGACAATGATGTTATCAAACCTTGGGTCGGAAGCCAGATAACTAATCTAACTTCAAATAATGTTACATTTGGCAGCAATATCTCAGGGAAAGTCATTACAGGAAGCAGAGTTCAAACGACCGCCTCTGTAGCAGGAGGCTCGTCTGTCTTTATTTCAAATAGTTTTGACGGTACAAAATCGTCTTGGCTGGGTCTGGATGGTTCTGGTTTTTTAGGGTATGCTAGTGATGCTGCTACGTGGTTAGGAGCACAAGACAAGCTGATTTACATTTACGGACGGACATCTAGTGCAGTATCTCTGGGTCTAAGAGTGGACACAAATGGTTTGTGCGTTGTAGGGGGTGACCTAACTGTCGGAGCCTCTTCTGTAAATGGTTTACGTTCCCTTATCGTAAGCAATCCGAGTACAGGGACGAACGGATGCAGCATTCTTTATCTAACAGCTTCAGGGGGTTCTGGAGTGATGTTTTTGAATGGAAACAACCGGAGTTCGGACGGTGGGATTAACGCAATGACGTTGAGAAACAATATTGGTAACCTTCGGCTTCAAGCACAGACCGCTAGAGGACTAACAATACAGGCAAACACTGGAATCGTTACACTGGATGCTACAAATGATGCATCCTCTACAACAACAGGTGCATTACAAATTCCCGGTGGATTAGGAGTGCAAGGCACAGTGTACATGGGAAAGTATGCTATTATATCTACTACAGCCACTGCCGCCTTTCAAATAAACAATGCATCATTCGGATATACAGCAACAGCAGGTCAATGGGTAACAAATACCGTTGCTGGAGACTACATCATTCGAGCCTCCGCTAGTAATTTGCGTATTGGTACAAATAATGCAACGGCTTCGAATTTGGATATTCTCTCATCTGGGAATGTTATTATCAATATGACAACTGATGCTACTTCCTCAACATCCGGCTCGTTCCAGGTGAAAGGTGGAGTTGGCATCGCTAAATCACTGTACGTTGGAGGGGATGTATACACAAATGGAGTGAAATTGGCTACTGAAAGTTCTCTAACAACATCCATTGCTACGAAGCAAAATGCCAATCCTTTACTCGATGCAATCAGTGGTTTAACAACGACACCGAATTCCTTCGTCATGGGAACTGCTGGGGGCTTTACAGTATCACCTGTCTCTACAATTCTAGGGGGATTCCAACCTCTTCTTACTACATCGTCTGCATTGAATGTTAATTCTCTAACAACGAGTGGTGGAATATTTGTCCAAGGCACCTCAGATATAGTGTTTCGAGTAGATAATGTAGGCAATGGACTCTTGACAGGTGGCTTACATGTTGAACATGATCTAAATGTTGAAGGACTGATCATTCAAAATGGAGTCGAAGTGGCTACGCAACAATGGAGTGTCGCTACAATGACCGGCATGACAAGTCCTCTTAGTCAATCCTTGACTTTGCTTCAAACACTTGTTCAGAATAACAAGGCCGCCGCAGATACAGCACTTGCTACTAAACAAAGTGCGTCTGCATTACTCGATTCTATCAGCGGTTTAACGCCGGCGGCTAACACTTTCATCATGGGAACACCCACAGGGTTCTCAGTTGTTCCTACATCGAATATACTTTCCTCATATCAACCTCTTATTACCTCATCGACTGCGCTATCATTTAACAGTGCCACTGTTGGCAGGGGTATAACCATTCAAAATGGCGCAGCATCTACAACATTGTCCTTAGTAAATACTGGGAGTAATGTTACATGGGGCATGAGAGTTGCCGGAAGCACAGGAGACGGAACATTATCAGCAGGCGGATTCGGTCTAAATAGTTCTTATAACAATACAGGCTTCGTTCTGAGAGTTTCCAATACAGGCGTAACGCAGATACCAAACACAACCAATTCAACTAGTGTGACAACAGGTGCTTTCCAGGTATCAGGTGGAGTCGGCATAGGAAAAACTCTAACCCTAGGAGCAGGTGGAGGAGGATTGCAGCTGGCTGCCATAGTCATCAATGCGCCTTCAAGTGCCACAGCATCTACGGCCATTCTGATTAGTAACAATGCTGCTTCGAGTAATTCTTGGGGTACATACCACGCTGCAACTAATGGAACAGGTATACTTACCAATGGGAGCCTCGGGT